CAGGAAAGCTGCCACCTGGAGAGGAAGATGTGTGCCTGAAGCTCTCGGCCAGGAAAAGAATGAGAACCAGTGAGAACCCCCTCCCCCCCCCCCACCCCCCACCCTGCCCCGCAGCTCAGTGGAGAAAGATGCTTTGGGCAAGTTCCCTTTCTCAGACCTCTGAGCTCCACAGAAACTTCTCACTCTGTCACCTCGGGGCTTCTACTTCCCCTAGGGGTTTCTGACTTTCCTTGAAACTTAGTGTGGCACTGTCTCCTCCAGCACTCCTGAGTCCCTGGGTTCAGGGCTGAGACCACATGGGTGGCACAGATGAAGGGCCACAGCTCTGAACTTAAGCTGTTCTTTCTAGCTGTTAGCTGCCCACTGGTGGGGAGGGATCCAGGGACCTGCCGGGGAGGAAGGAGAAGGTCCCCTCTCAGGCATGCCCCTATTTCTGGCCCATCTATTTAGGGTCTGCATGAGGTTGCCAGGAAACAGAGTGGGTGAGAATTACTCAAGCAGCCCTTCCTTCTGCAGCCTGGGGACCAGTGAAGACTGCCCAGAGGAAGTGCTGGGTGACTGAGGGTGACTGAGGGTGAGTGGAAGACAAGGGGCAGAGAAACGGAGGAGAGCACATTGCAGAACTGAAAGAAATTGAGTGGGAGGCAGGGAGGGACTGGTCACATGGGGGTCAGGAATGAGTTTGGCCTTTGTCCCAGAAATTTTGGAGAGTGATGTGATGTGAATTGCATTTTACCAAGATTCTGGTCTAGGTGTAGAAGAGTCTGGTTTGGCAGGCAGGGAGAGGGAGACGGGGTGGGGCCCAGCCTGTGGCAGATGGGAGAGGCTTGCAGGAGGTGGAGCTGAGGGTGAGGGACGAAGCCCACAGTGTCTGGGTGAAGGTGCTCACCCCTGTTGCCTGGGCAAGGCTGCTTTCAGCTCTGGTCAGGGTCTGAGGGGTGGAGGTAGCTGGGGGTCATCGTGACAAGCCTGTAGTGCTTGCCCTGCAGTCCCGCTGTAAGCATGCAAGGATGACCGTGGTTTGGATATTCTCTAGTGACCACCCACAATGGCCCCAGTCCTGTGCTTTCTCAGAATAAAAGGGGTGAGGAGGTTTGAGTCCCTGGGCCAGGTTGCTGTCGCCACCTACAGGTGGTTCTGATTCGAGAGTACTGCTGCTGCCGTCTGTGCTGGGGCCTCTGTCTCTTTCTATTGTTTTCTAATTTATTTGTTTTTGCAGCACTGGGGGATTGAACCCAAGTCTCTCTACAACTGAGCTACATCCTTAGCCCTGTTTGTTTATTTATTTATATGTGGTGCTGAGGATTGAATCCATTGCCTCACACCTGCTAGGCAAACGCTCCACCACTGAGCCACAACCTAACCCTTTTTGTTCCAGACTGACCTGGAACTTGTGAGCCTCCTGCCTCAGCCTTCCCAGTTGCCGGTTATAGGTGTGCTGCGCCCGTGCCAGGCATCTTTGTCTTTCATTATGGTAGGAATATTGGCAAGTCTTAATGCTGCTGTGAATGGCCTGGAGGAGAAGTAGTCATGGACCGTGTTGTGGGTGAGGGAGGACAGGCTGTACAGAGTCACAGTAGTGAGACGGGGAGGCCAAGGCAGCCAACCTGGGATGTTATCTTCTAATGGGCACCTTTGGCATCTCACTTGCACTTCCTGTTGGGAACCTTGTCCCCAGGCAGTGAGAGCAAGTGTCTATGAAGAGCTCCCTAGCCCTAGCCTGGCCTAGGTTGAGACTTAATACTTCAAGCCCCATTTACCACAAAGGGACCAGAGATGGCAGTAAAAGGGATAGGAAACTGGACTGGGGATATGGCTCAGTTGGTAGAGTGCTTGCCTGGCATGCACAAGGCCCTGGGTTCAATCCCCAGCAACACAAAAAAAGAAGGAGTAGGAAACTGAGTAAGAGAAAAATCAGAAAGAGACCTAAATCCAGAGCACTCTTGGACTCCAGAACAGACAGGGCAACAGCCTTGTCAGGAGCTGCCCTGTGCTATTCACAGTCCAACACATCAGGGCCAGGCACCAACTCCTGCTTTATCCTATGCCTGCAGTATGACCTTGTCTAGATGCTCTGAGCCTCAAGTTCTCCATCTGTAAAATGAGGATACTACCACCACCACCCCCACTCAGTGCAGGCAGACAACACAAAATGCCTGGCAGAGTGATCAACAATAAGTCACAATAAGTCAGATTAGTTCCCGTCCCTGTTTGCCCAACTCCTGCCCTGCAGCCCTAGAGGTCCTAGCTGGTTTCCATAGTGGTTCCAAGAGTGGGTGCAGGCCCCCACCTGCTGGTGGACTCTGGAACTGCACCTCTGAGCCCAGAGGAATGCCTGACTCCAACCACCTCCAGGGAAAAGGCAATGATTTTATTCCTTAGCAAAAAGAGAACTCTGGAGGTATTCAAGGGACTTCCCATCATCCCATCACACGCCAGGGGCTTCAACCCATTCTGCCCCATCTTTACTTCTTTAATTGCCCCTGTTTGGAGTGGCCTCCCCTCCATTACTTGGAGACATGGCCCTTTTTGAAGATACCCATAATGCTGTTAGCCACAATCAGAATTAATGGGAACATGCAACACTTGGACTTGTTTGTAGATTTGCTAAAGTGAATATAGAGAGGAGAGAAAGAGAGAGAACTAGAACACCTTCCTGAGTGTTCTAGAGGCCAGGCAGGGGTATTTTCTAGTATCTGAACCCAACCGCTTACCATCCTTGCCTAAAATACCTGAAATTTCCCCAGGGAAATCTCCTTTCAACTCTGGGTGAGGAAGGTGGGTTGGGAAATGTGTTTTTTCTAAAATAGCTATACAAGCATTTTTTTTCCCCCCGATTTTCTGTTTTGTAGTGCTGGTGAATGAACCTAGGGCCTCCAACTTTCTAGGTAAACACTCTACCACTGAACTATATCCCCAGGTCCCCAGTCCTTGAATTTTTTAAATAAAGGAAAAAATTGCTTCCTGGTACTTTCAAATTCCCAGAGGGCTTACAGGGTACTCTCCTCCCTCCCCTGAAATGCTGCATTCCCATGCCATGTCCTCCTTCCATGCTTCACAGTGGTCCCTCCACCTGGGACTCTGGTCCACACTCCTCGGCTGCCAAGTTCCTACTTGTTCTTCCATGCTCATCTCAGTGTCATCTCCCTGGATGCCTCCCTGACTCCCCAGGTCTTGGTCAGGGGCTTGCTGTTCTCACTCTCACCTTATCTATTCCTGCATTAGAGCTCTCAGCTGTCTAGATGACACCGTCGGTGGGGAGTGGCTCTTTCTTTCTAGAACGTGGGCTTCTTGTGGGCAGGGGTATTACACTTGCATATGCCCAGCTCAGACATTCATCCTTGGCAGTTGAATGCAGTGAGTCCACACTAGCAAGGTTTGCTCACCACCAAAATGAGGAATCTGGACAGATCTCCTGAGTTACTTTTGACCCTGGAATCCCAACTTGCTTATGATAAGCAAGCAGTCTTCAAACAGCCAATCCTGAGCAGGGACCCCAGGCACTGACAGGTCTGTTTAGTAGGTATTCTGAAACCAAAATGCATGGCATAGTTCCTCTTACCAAGAAGGATATATTCTAAATCCTTTAATTTCAGGAATTGTTCAGTTTGGACATTTTTAACTTCAAAACAAATACCCAGGAGAGAAAATCTAGCTACAGCCATGCATAACAGAGTGCTAACCACAAGCCACATAAACCTAAGGTGCTGGATTCAGAAACTTCACTCCAGATGTCAGGTGCGGTGGCACACGTCTGTAATCCCAGCAGCTCAGGAGGCTGAGACAGGAGGATCACAAGTTCAAAGCCAGCCTCAGCAAAAGTGAGGTGATAAGCAACTCAGTGAGACCCTGTCTCTAAATAAAATACAAAATAGGGCTGGGGATGTGGCTTTGTAGTTGAGTGCCCCTGAGCTCAATCCCTGGTATGTTCCCCCCGGCATGAACCCGGCGCAAAAAAAATTCACTCCAAACTTTTTATTATAGTGGGCATATAGGCAAATGATTTTGTCTCCAATCCTCAATTTTCTTACCTGTAAAACGGGCATAAAGACACCTTTTAGGGCCACAAGAATTAAATGACATATTCTAAATGGTTAGGTGGTAGGTACGTGCTCAGAGTGAAAGTACATTACCACTAGCCTTTGCTATAATGAGGAAGATATTATCCTCATAAGATGACTTTCTCGGTACCAGGGATTGAACCCAGCTATGCTTAACCGTAGCCACATCCCCAGCCCATTTTTAAATTTTGACACAGGGTTTTGCTAAATTGCAGAGGCTGACTTTGAACTTATGATCCTCCTATCTCAGTCTCCTGGGCTGCTGGGATTAGTCATGTGCCCCTGAGCCTGGCAAGGACTCTTCATTAGAACCTGTGGAGTCAACTTTTTGAAAATCTGATTGCATGGATCTGTTTTCTAGAAGGCTGCTCCTGCTGTGAGTCCACAACCCCTAGGATTCGTAACCTAATTGGCATCTCCATCACAGTCAGGTGTGAAAATGCATCTCACTACACGTGCCTACTGTGAGATTCCAGTGTGCAGAAAACATCCATTCCATCCAAACTCCTGCTGAAATCCCTTCTAAAGTCACACAACTTCAGCTTCTTTTGGTTCCTTCAAAACAAATACCCAGGAGAGAAAAGAAGCTGGGTATTTGTTTTGAAGGAACAGCCACAGAGCTGTAGCACAAATGCAGAGAGTGGGTGACTAGGTTTAAATCATGCCCATCCTTAGGACAAATGCCAAAGTCTCCCCTTACAAGATTCCTTGTTCTGTTCCCCAATAAAGAGCAACAGTCACCTCTTAACCCACTTTTCTTTGTGAGGCCTCAGTCTGGGGACTGGAATCCCCAATTAGAAGTTCCAGTTTTCTGAGACTATCTTCATTTGTGGTAATAAAAGGGGACAAGTCATCACCTCCCAAGCCAACATCATACCTCTGACATAAATGTACTCTGATCGCAGTGGGAATCAGTGATGGTGAGGACAGACTCTAGACTGCACCAGAATGACAAAAGTTACATTTAATTTACAATGTAATAAAGGTTACAGGTAAAAAGCTACACATAAAGCGTGAAAAGGCCTATTACACAAATGTACAAATCTCTGTACAAAGCTCATATCAATGTTTCCTACCTTTGTCTCCTGTTTGTTAGCCAGGTCTAGTCTTGCTCTGAGCAACCAGAGCTCTCAAACGGGAGGGGGGGGGGGGGGGGGGAGCCTCCAAACCAACAGCTAAAAACGTCCTCTTAATAGACTTCAGTTACTTGCAAAGTAAATCTTTTCATTTTTAATCTTACTTGCCCTAACTAATCATATCCTTTAAAAATTGCCTCATAACACACTCAAAAAGAAAAGTAATGCCTTGGAGAGTAGAGGACAGTACTCTGAAAATAAATGAGAAACATAGGCAACTGGAGTGCTCAGGTTTGACAAGAAAAGTTCACACAATACTATAAGTTAAAACTATAAACCTGTGCCTCTGGCACTGGTCACAGACAAAGGGGAGTCTCATTCCAACAGAAAGGATCGAAGAGAAAAGCCTAACCATTGGACCTCAAAACCAAAGACCCAAGAAAACACTTCTGAGTTTAAACTTTAGCTTAACCGAAGAATACTAAACCTTTTTGATCATCCTGGGATCCATGGCAACCCTTTTGCTACCTGGGACTTGCAAAGACAGTAAATATAAATGAGGCTGTGGGGACCCGGAGACTGGTGAGGCTACTGCTACCTCCACAGCTCTGGATTCAACCTAGGTTATGTGACATCACATAAAAATGATCCTAGAAAGGAGAAGGAAGAAAGAGGCAATAAAAGGCCTGGGAAAGAGCCAGGGCAGTCTACTTAAAGGACCTATGAAACCTTTCTCTACATAGAAAGTGTTCTGAATACAGGTCTTTATGGTATATTTGAGCCCCACCCCCAGTCTTAATATTACATGGTTAGGACCCCAGGAGACATTCTGAAAGACGATACTGCACACATGGAACGTTTTTCTCCCTAGTTCATTAGTGCCCCATCACCCTTCCACCCCATTCCCACCCAATCCCACCCTTCTCCATGACCAAAAATATCAAATCAGTAAGGAAGGCGTGGGCTTCTTGCCCGGCCAAGCCTCTTTTGCATATTTCTTCTTCTTGGGTTCATTAACAGCTTCAGGGTTATAGACTGCAGGATTTGGTGTGGGGTTCATGTTCACTGCTGATGGTACGACGGGAGTCAAGTCCACATCAGGGGCGAGGTTCGGGTATGGCATGGGCAAGCCACCGATGAGTGCTGTCCCATGAATGCCATGCGGCTGGGAGCCTGCTTCACTGTGTGTGGGGGGCAGGCCCCCGTAGAGTCCTCCACTGAAGGCAAAGTTCTGCATGCGCCTGCTCCCTGATTCCTCCAGGCCCAGGGAGCCAGGGCCCTCCACCCGCTTCTTCTGTGGTTTGCCATGAAGAGAGGGAAAGAACAGAGAGGAGACAAGAGGTGAAACAGATTGTAACTTTTTCTTCCATTCCAGCCTTTGGGAAAAGTTCCTAACTTCCAGCTTATTTTATTTCCCAGACAACCTATTCCATGGTCCTGAAATCTTACAGTTTGAAGAGACCTCACAGCTGTCATCTAATACAGTGGCTCCCAATGTTGCCCTACAGTAAAGTTTTCACTATTCTATGTAATCAGAAAAATGAGAATAGTGTTATGAGTTTTACAGGAAGTAAAACTTATTCAATTTAAATGACTACTCTCTATTTAGAGTCAACCCTTCCTCTCTTATTAATGTAAAAACACCCCATTAGGACATGGAGGTGATAATTCAACTATTTTCTTTGGAAGGGGGTAAATACAAAGGTAGCATTTCCATATTGGGTGCCTAATTCTTTATTCAGTTTATTTTTTAATAAGAGACAGGGTCTTACTATGTTCACAGGCAGGATTGCAGTGACTATTTATAGGCATGATTCTATTACTAATCAGCACAGGAGTTCTGACCTCTGACCAAGCCAATCTATTCCCTCTCAGGCAACCAAGCCACATCCCTATCTATCTATCTATCTATGGTATTTGTTTATTTATTTAGAGTCAGGGTCTCAATAAGTTTGCTGAGGCTGGCTTTAAATTGGCAATTCTCCTGCCTCAGCCTCCCGAGCCACTAAGATCATGGGTGTGCACCAGACTGATTGCCATTTTTTAAACATTAATCTGAAAGCAAAACAAATCTGCAGTGGAGAAAGTAGTCTACTGGTGGCCTGGGGTTGAGTAGGAGGGGAATGGTTGTAAAGGGACAAGAAGGTGCTGGGCTCAGTGGTGTACACCTATAATCCCAGCTACCTCAGGAGGCTGAGGCATGAGGTTTGGGAAGTTCAAGGCCAGCCTAGGAAATTTACTGAGATCCTGTGTCAAAAATAAGATAAAAGCTGGGTGTAGTGGCTCATTTTACAATCCCAGCAACTTGGGAGGCTGAGGCAGGAGGACATGAGGGCAGCCTCAGCAACCTAGTGAGAAACTGTATCAAAATAAAAAATAAAAAGTGCTGGGAATGTGGCTCAGTGGTTAAGCGCCCTTGGGTTCAATCCCCAGTATTAACCTCTGCCCCCAAACAAACAAAAAAGTAAGATTGCAAAGGGCTGAGGATGTAGCTCAGGGGTTAAGCACCCCTGGGTTCAATGCCCATATTGTAGAGGTACAAGAAGAAGTACGTGAAGGATTTTTTTTTGGTACTGGGAACCCAGAGGTTCCCTACCACAGAACCACATCCCCATGGTTTTTGTTGTTGTTGTTGTTATTGTTGTTTGTTTGTTTTGGTGCTGCGGATTGAACTCAGGGCCTTGTGCATGTGAGCTTAGTTTTTTTTTTTGTTTTTTTTTTTAAATATTTTTTAGTTGTAGTTGGACACAATACCTTTATTTTATTTGTTTATTTTTAGGTGGTGGTGAGGATTGAACCCAGGGCCTCACACATGCTAGGTGAGCGCTCTACCACTAAGCCCCAGCCCAAGCCCCAGCCCGAGCCCAGTTCTTTTTTTATTTATTCTGAGACAGGGTCTAAGTTGCTAAGGTTGGCCTTAAACTTGTAATCCTCCTGATTCAGCCTCCTGAGTGGCTGGAATTATAGGTATGTGCTATCATAACTTTCACTTCTTAGTTCTTCAAAATATCTAATCTTTAAACCTATTTCCAGACTGAACTAACCTTCCTATCTGTGCCATTCCTGTGTACAAAATAATGGCATGGCAAAAAACACAGGTGCCTTGCAGTACTGCAATATTGTTTTTCCCTCACATAAAAGCTTACTTTGAGTCAGAAGGGAATGGCCACAGGAAGATGGGTCTCTCTGCACCCTTCTAAAAGTTAAATTTATAGATTCACATTAGCACATAATTTATATGTTTCACATCAAACTGACTGGTCACCTGTATCCCTTCTGTGGTGTTCCAGGATTCCCTACACATAAACAGGGGTAAAAGTACTTCCACAGGGTTGGAGATAAAGCTCAGTTGGTAGAATGCTTGCCTTACATGCACGAGGCCCTGGGTTCAATCCCCAGCACCCCCACCCCCACACAAAGTACTTCCACAGAATGAAAAATATGAGAGGAACACAGAATGTGTTTTAAAGTTACTCACTAGGGTTAGGGATAGAGGCTCTCAATGGTAGAGCACTTGCATGTATAAGGCCCTGGGTTCAATCCCCAGTATAGAAGGGGGAAAAACAAACAAAAAATAATGCATATAGTATTGGGGTTCAAACCCAGGGCCTCATACCTGCAAAACACACATGCTAGCTACATTTCCACCCTCTAGAATGGGTTTTTGACTCCAGATCACATGTGATTTCAAACACTGTTAAAATGTGCTTCCTACCTTTACTGGGACTACTGCAGTTTGCACCATGTTCCGGAAGCGACCAACTGAGGGATCCACATCCTCTGCAAAAAGAGATGAGGGCAGGGTTGGGTTGGTACTCTGCTGGAAGGAATAAAGGTACAGGGCTGACTGCACACTAAACCACAATTCAAACAAACGGTCAAATTCAGCCAACACTGGAAGTGTTCACTGTGCACTGGACACTGTGATAAATCCTCCCACAACCCATGAGGTAGGCACTACTGCAATCAGCATTAGGTAGATGAGAAAACAGACTGAGGTTGAGAGGAGTAAAGGGACTGGCCCAGTTTCCCCACTGGAGGAGAGAAGCTGGGACTTCAGTCCAAGCAACCAGAAACACATCTATGCTCTACACCACAATGCTGCATTGCCTTCCCCAAGATCTTTCCCATTCCATGCATTTCCCTCTTTTAAGGGGAGAAAACGAATAGATATTATCAATCTCACATTAGTGTTAAAACAATGACAAGAGGTCACATACAACAGATCTTGCCAATACCTGCTCATTAGTGAAGAACAGATTTAGGACCCAGACTCAGAGCTTCAAAAATTTACCCTGGATTTTTGACTTGAATAACTTGAACTTTATAAAATCAGTACACATATATGCATATCAATATACATGTATGTATCCGAAGCCTCCTGTCCAGATAAGATGGGAGAATGGCTCCCTTTGAATTGCTTATACATATATCACTGTGCCCTACAAACCTTCTGGATTTATTCACTCTGCAGGGAGAAGGCACTAGACTCAGGTTGTTGCTCTTCAATCACTTACTCTCTCAAGTCTCATGTACTGATCACCAGGTATGGAAATAAAGAGCAAGACTGAGGAGTGCACAATAACAGAACCAGAGAGGTTACAACACAACAGAGATGCTTCAAAAGAAGTGCAAAACAGGGCTGGGATTGTGGCTCAGTGGTAGAGCGCTCGCCTAGCACATGCGAGGCCCTGGGTTTGATCCTCAGCACCACATAAAAAAAGACTGAGCATGTAGAAAAGAGCAGGCACGGACCCATCACTACTACTGAAAACTATTAAACCCCTTTTAGCTTATTATTGTGGCAGAGAAGGAATTCTTTCCCTAACAGATGTTGCACATCTTATTTTTCTTTTCTTTTCAGTACTGGGGACTAAAATCAGGGTGCTTTATAACTGAGCCACATTCCCAGCCCCATTTTGTATTTCTAATTTAGAGACAGGGTCTCACTGAGTTGCTTGATGCCTCACTGTTGCTGAGGCTGGTTTAAATTCACAATCCTCCTGTCTCAGCCTACCAAGCTGCTTGGATTATAGGTGTACACTACCAGGACCAGCCCTTTTTGTATTTTATTTTGAGACAGGGTTTCACTAAGTTGGTTAGGGCCTTGATAAATTGCTGAGGCTTGATTTGAGCTCATGATTTTCCTGCCTCAGCCTCACTGGCATGTGCTACCATGCCCAGCTGTACATTTTTTTTAAATTTATTTTTAGGGCTGGGGATGTGGCTCAAGTGGTAGTGCGCTCACCCGGGTTCGATCCTCAGTACCACATACAAAGATGTTGTGTCCACCGAAAACTAAAAAATAAATATTAAAATTCTCTCTCTTAAAAAAAAAAAAAAAGTCCTCTTCAGGTATGAGATGGGAAGCCGCCCAACATCACTTAGAAAGGTTATGTTTGATTCATTCTACTATCTTTCCTATTCCTATATATGTCTATTTTAAATGCACCGAAGTTGTCTGCTATTGAAAAAACATTCCTATGAATCCCGATGGAAAAAAACAGAATTCCGAATTTAATTTGAATAATTTGTTTCTGATTTATTTAAGTGTAGTTTTTCACATATTAGAATGCCTCTAAGAATAGAACCTGGTATCACATTCACAACCAGTCTTTGTTCAATGAATGGCTTCTACTTCGAAGAAAAAAAAGGAAAAGATCTAGGGTCATTAGGAAAGAGACAAAGTCCTTCCAAAGGTGCTCTAACTTTTCTCTTATTGCTATAGGAGTGCTATTCCAATCACCTTTTAAGCAAGGAGGGCTAAATGAAGCACAAGAGCAAAGGAAGCCAGATGCACTGGTACACAACTGGAATCCCAGCTACCCTGGAGGCAGGAAGGGATATTGTAAGTGCAAGGCCAGCCTTGGCAACTCAGAGAGCTCCTACCTCAAGGATTAAAAAATAAATAAAAAAGCAATTAGTGGAGTTCTGCCCTCCAGACATCCCCAAAAGTGCTCAGGGTTTTACCCTCTGCTCCTTTTTTTCCAGCCATTCTAGTTCTAGAAAGGATACACTGTTCCAGTATATCTGTGCTTCTGAAGACCTACACACAAAACTCCTTGCTAACTTTACCTCTGGCATAGGTGAAAGACAGATGATGATGATGATGGTGATACCAGTTAGCATTTATTGAGAATTTTATACCAAGTATCCTTAAGTATTTTTTAATGTATATATTTTTAGTTGTACGTGGACACAATACCTTGATTTTATTTTTATGTGTTACTGAGGATCGAACTCAATGCTTCCTGATCGAACTCAGTGCTCTACCACTGAGCCACAACCCCAGCCCCAAATATTTTTCAATATACTAATTTAATCTTCCTGATAATCCTGTGAGGTCATTAGCCTGTTAAATCACTTGGCCAGGTTACACGTTACTAAGTGGAAAGGTGGATTTCAGACTCAGGTCCCCTGATTTCAAAACTCTGCTCTTAACCACATTATATTAATAAAGCTCCAGGGTGCTAATTTTCAAGGAGAAAACAGCAGCGCATGCCATGACTACCAAGAGACTTTGGAGATGATCTAAATATTTTTCAAACTGCTGGCTGTTTATTAGTATAAACACAAAGTGGTTTTTTTTTTTTTTTTGGTTTTGGTGTTGGGGAAAGAACCCAAGGTGCTCTACCACTGAGCTATATCCCCATCCCTTTTTTGAGACAGGATCTTGCTAAGTTTCGAAAGCTGGCCTTGAACTCAGGATCCTCCTGCCTCAGCATCCCCAAATTCTGGGATTAAAGGGATAAGCCACAGTGCCTAGCCAGAGGTTAGCTTAAAAACAAAATTCTAGGGGGTTAGAAGCATAGCTCAGTGGTAGAGTACTTGCCTAGCATATACAAGGTCTTGGGTTCAATCCTTAGCATAGAAAAAAAGAATCTAGGTCTAGCCCATGGAAACTCTTATTCAATAGGTCTGGGGCCCAGAAACTGGCTTTTCAGATTGGTCTAGTCCCTGTCTGAAACTTCTCTTGCACACTTACTCCTTTGAGAAGGAATCTACTCCACTTCATATACCATCAGAAAGTGAATTTGTAGTCACTAGAAAGAGCGCCCTCATCTTTTTTTCCTAATGAACCCATATTTTTTAAAAATTAGAGCATTATAATTATATACAGTAGTTGGGTTCCTTCTGACAAAATTTATACAAACAAGGAATTTGATTTCAATCCCCACTCCCCCTCCCTTTTTATTCCCTCCTCTACTTAACAGATATTCCTTTCACTTCTTTATTTAAAAAAACTTTTTTAAGTTGTAGACAGATACATTTAAGTTGTAGACAGATACAATAGCTTTACTTTATTTATTTATTTTTATGTGGTGCTGAGGATCAAAGCTAGTGCCTCAAATGACTAGGTAAACACTCTATCATGAGTTACAACTCCAGCCCTTTATTTATTTTTGATTGATTGGTACTTTCTACATATAATAAAGGAGAAATTCCCTTTGGTACATTTATATATGCCCTGATCTCTTTCATGTGAATCTTTAATTCTTCTAAATATAAGTAGGGAATTTGCTGGTTTCCCCTTTTTCTTATGCTGCACCAAATACTTGGTACCCACTAGTTCTGAATTTGTCCCATTCCTTTCTGACCATTCCATGCTCCCCACTTCTCCCCTTAAATTCTTGGCACCCAGGGTACTCACTCCAAAAGCCTTCCTCCCTCAGGACTACACATTTTGGGGGTAGTTCTATTCAGAACACAGACTAGTAGGGTTACTGTCCCCACCAGTCTATTGTTAATGCAATCTTGAATTGCACTTGATTTGTTTCTATATCCCCTGATGACTCAGACTGCATTTAAATTAACTAAAATCCCTAGATCTCCCTGCCCCAACTCCTTGGGCCATCAGTGGAACAGGTATCCATCTGAATAACTTAAAACTTAATTGCAGAACCTGAAAGTTATTCTCATAGCATTTCAATCTAGGAAGTAAAAGCAACTTGTTAGGCTGTATTTTTCATTTTCATATCCATTAATTTTATTCCAAATAAGGTTTAAAAAAGAAAACAAAAAACCCAGGCCTATCACTATTATATTAACTATATATACTCCTACCCCCATGTCAGCCATCTGCCAGAGCACCTGAATGATATAATAAATTGGCAATTTTATTGTGGCCATCCCTACAAACTGAAGCTTGAACCCTATTCAATTACCTGTAAGTGACTTCCTTAGAGACAAACAAGACTTCAATGTGATTAATGATGGCAGAAGGTATTCCAACCTTGGAGCTACCAATCCTACTCAGAACGTCATAAAGACAATAACATTTTATTGTAAGGTAAAGATAAATACCCATATTTCAGTTAAACTTCCACTATGATAGGGAAATGCTGGGTCAGCAAAGAATAATTATAGCCTTATTATTTAATATCAAAGACCCTTTTTTAAAAAAATGGTCAATGGAAGAGAGAGAGAGAGAGAGAGAGAGAGAGAGAATTTTAATATTTATTTATTTAAGTTTTCGGCAGACATAACATCTTTGTTTGTATGTGGTGCTAAGGATCAAACCCAGGCCACACGCATGCCAGGCGAGTGCACTACCGCTTGAGCCATATCCCCAGCCCCCAAGACCCTTTTAATCTTTTCTTTTTCTTTTTAATTTTTTTTTTTAGTTATACATGGGCACAGTATCTTTATTTTGTTTTTTTTTTTATTTTTATGTGGTGCTAAGGACCAAACCCGGGTCTCACACATGCTAGGCCAGCGCTCTACCACTGAGCCACAACTTCAGCCCCCTTTTAATTCTTTCTTTGTCACTGTACCTGGATAATTCTTGGATGTTTAGGGTACTCCACCTATGTTGCCTCTAATCCTAATCTTTGTTGAGAAACATTCCAATTGACCTGTCGGTTGTACACACTACTCTCTGAGATCACAACATTTCAACAGAAGAAACCAGGAAAAGATCTCACCTGGGTTGATGATCTCATCATCTTCGCTGAAAGTCACCCGTGAGTTCTTCCTCTTCCTCTTTGGTCTCTGAATGTCCAGATTTCCTTCCTCAATGGTGAGGGTAGAAATCCGTTTGTTGTGGGCAGTGTTGAACTCTGTCAGATTCTAGGCCAGGATTCACACAGAAAAGACAAGAGTCAGTACAGGGACTTTGATGGAAAAACAGTAATAAAGGGCAGAAAGGCAGTAGGGGCTTAATCAGACCTCCAAGACTCTCTTCTGCATTTAGGGAAGATTCATACTATCCTTAGACTGCTAATACTAACAAGTCTCATTTGAAAGAAAGTGGAACATCCACATTGACTAGTGTGGGAATACTATTCAAAAAAGGACGTAAAGAACACTGAGAATAGGTCATAATCTGTACGAATACGAATACCCTTCAGTTGAGGGTTTTTTTTTTTTCTTTTTCTTTAAAAGGAAGGCTATCATATTTTCATGCTGAGAATTAAAATGTGTCTGGGAGGACTCCAAGAACTGTTTTAAAGTAACTAAACAGATGAAAAAGGACAACTGACTGTTCTTTTCAATAGCTCTTGCCTTCAAAATTCTTAAGGACATTATCAGTGCACTTGATTTTTGGCATTAATATTTTGTCACCCTCCTTCTTACGTTTGGCCCCACTTATATTCATAAGCATCCATCCACTAATCTTGATGATTAACCTGGCCTTAGCACTGTTGCCTGTCTTCTTCTCAGTCCACTGGACTTATTTCAATCTGCAATGCAGTTTGATATATTAGAATGAAGACCTAGAGAAGACCTAAAATACTGAACTAAAATATAGGCAAACAGGCTGGGGATGTAGGTAAGTAGTAGACGATCTTTCTAGATTATGTGAGGCTCTGGGTTCAATCCCCTGGTATTGTAAGACACAAAACAAGAACAAGAACAAGAACAAAAAAACCAGAGGAAAGCAGCCTGTAGGGAAAAAGAGCAAGCATAACCACTGCAATAGCCTTACAATGACTTCTAAATTATAAGATTTCTATTGTATTTTTCTTCCTAAAGACTAGGAAACTGCCTTGGTGTATAGGAAGAGTAAATACATGTGGGTAGTTAAGGACATGCTTTCATTTGGTCTAACTGAACAGACAAGTTACATCAGTGCAGTGACACACGTGAAGGCTACTAGTGTCAGCCTCTAGAAAAGGAAAACTTGGGATGGGAATATAGCTCAGTGGTATAGTGCATGCTTAGCATGTACAAGGCTCTGGGTTCAATCCCAGTGCCAAAACAATGACAAAAAACTTCCAGCCTTCAGGGCATCCAGGCCCATAAGAACAAAAGCAGTCTAATTCTAGTCAGAAGACTCCTGGGCTGTTCAGATACTACCAAAAAAAGCTACGTAAATGAATGAAAGTGTCAGTTGCTAAATTAATGCTGTCAACCTTTTTGCAGTGATGGAAAGAATTACCTTTAGGTATCTGAAGAAGACTGGTTCCAGGACTCCCTTCCCCATGGATATCAAAATCTACAGACACTCTGGTCCCTCAAAAAAAAAAATTCATATAACCTATGCACATCTTCCTATGTATTTCAAATCATTCTGGATCACGAATAATACCTAATACAACGTAAATGCTCTCTAAAGTTATTATACTGTATTTTTTAGGAAATAATGAAAAGAAAAGTCTGTACATGTTCTATATAGAAGCAATTTCCCTCAGTGAACAACTTATCTGCTGTTGGTTGAATCAAAAAATGCAGAACCTGCTGATGTGAAGGGTTGACTCTATTTGCACTATCCAATTATGGTATCCACTAGTTATATGTGACTGATTATTTGAAATGTGGTTAAGTAACTACTGCATCGAACAACATAGCTCTAAGCAGTCCCAGAGACAGAAAAATATAATTTGCAGTCTTGGCTTCTAATAGCCAGTGAAGGAGCACAAGACCCCTAAGAGGAGGTCTAGTGGCAGGAGACTCACACAACATTGCCAAAACTCATTATTTGGCTCAAGAAAACCTCCTGCTGCTAAGCCACTGGCATTAAAAGCTACACAGAACAGCTATATACTCCAAAAACCAGTGTCCCAAAAGACAAAACAATGACATAAATATGGAATTACATCAAGCTCAGTTTCTTCCTCTGGAAGCCCCAACAGGCCCTTGAGTTCATCATCCTCTCCACTCATCTTTTCATCTCCTTTCACAGCTGATGGCAACGTCTGAGGCTTCTCGCGCAGAGTGTATGCCCTTGTGGAAGCGCCAAATGAGACTGTGGAATCGATGGGAATTTGTTGTGGCTTGTGAGGTTCCAACCGAATGTGACCTAAGAAAGTGCCATGTGCTGGGAATAACCAAATCAGAAACGTAAGAGGAGAAACCAAAAAAAGCCTGAGTTTAGAAGGGAGAGCATCATCTTTGACTCGTATCAAATCAGCTTCTCCCAGAACATCAGTTTTGCTTTTTTCGTTTATTAAAAAAAAAAAAAAAATGCCCACATTCAAGATTATGGTCAGAGAACAAGTCTTTTAAAGTGAAAATGGTACTGGATCTATTGCATCCTCTGATATGTCTTATATCGAGAAGGAAAACTTCTTCACTAAGCCTTCAATCTCTTCAATAGATTTATTTTTCTGAGATGGGGTGTCACTAAGTTGTTGAGGCTGGCCTCAAACTTATTATTTTCCTGCTTTACCACCCAAGTGACTGGGACTACAGGCATGCACCAGTATGTCCAGTTTCTTCAGTGGATTTCTTACACATCTTCAGACTGTTGTTCATCCACATAATAAATACTACTGCCTTTTTTTCTGCTGTCAGACAGGCTTGGCTCCTTTGGGTCCAGTAGGAATGGCTCCAACCCAACAGAAGCCACCAAGGCATGAGATAGGCATTGCTGTGGTCTATATCCTCTCCAGCTTCAAGCATAAGGAACACAAAAATTGCTGGCCTTGCAATTCCCCATAAGACCAGAAAGGGGCCTGGCCAAAATAGGTGCACTGTCAATGCCAAGGCAAGCCAAAATCCTACTAGAGATTCTAAATAATTTTCCATGTCACCATTCTGCATGTGATTAATGCAGAGAAATGTTCTTGTGAGACAAGGTGACCAAGTACCTTGCATAAGATATGTGTCTATGTGGTTTAGGAGTTGGGGAAGAGGAGTCAAACACAATGATGAGCCTTACAGGAAGCAGCAGGACCATTTACACTTCACATCATATTCATATACAGGCAAAATAAACAAATTTCAGGGTCCCACACAGTGAAGCCTTATTTGTACTTCTGTGGCTTATCTTAGTAAAGGTTTAAAGTCTTACTAGTTGAAATTAAAACTGATGTAATCACAGTCAAAGCAAAAAGTAGCTGGTTGTGGTGGTACATGCCCAGGTACTCAAGAGGTAGAAACAGAAGGATCAAAGTTTTGAGTTCAGCCTGAGCAACTTAGCAGACCCTGTCTCAATATTGTAAGAATGAATGAATAAATGAATGCATGAATAAATAAATAAATCTGGAGATGTATATCAGTGGTAGAGTACCCCTGGGTTCAATCCCCAGAACTCGGAGAAAAAAACAAACTAACAAACCCAAAATGTACTTGGGATAAAGAACCTAATATAAATAACTAAATTTGCTCAAGTTTTTTTGTTTGTTGATGGTACTGGAGATTGAACCCAGGGGTGCTCTACTACTGAGCAACATCTGCAGCCCTTTTAAAAGTTTCTGAGACAGGGTCTCACTAAGTTCTTGAGGCTGGCCTCAAACTTGTGATCCTCCTGAGCCACTGCATTTTTTTTTAAAGCCTTCTTTCTTTTAAAAATACCTTTGTTTTATTTATTTATTTTTATGTGGTGCCAAGGATCGAACCCAGGGCCTCGCACATGCTAGGCGAGCGCTCTACCACTGAGCCATTACCCCAGCCCCTGAGTCACTGTATTTTTTAAATGTCTTATATATTGTTGCTTTCCTACATTAATGCAGTTAATCATGGTTTCTGCTTAAATTGAACTTCAATTTATCAGGGACTTATAATACTCAAATATCAATACTCCCTAATTCCTTGGTGCCATTTTTGTTTGCTATGTATACATTGTGACTTCCTTAGGACAATTCTATAAAAGTCCTCTTCTCTCCCTAGTCATTACTTCAGGAAAACAGAACCACTGAAATAGAGAAGGATTTAAAAACCAAATAAACTTTTTCCTCGATGAACAATAAAACATGTTTTCCTAACTAAAAACCCCAAAAAGCATTTTTACACTGCCCACAGGGAATATGTAAAGTGGGAGAGATACTCACTACTGTTGAGATCTATCAGGAAAACTCTCTTCAGATGCTTGTGGTAGACCAATGCAGCATGGACCCGAGAGCAAGATTGATGGTCAATGGTAAAGTCACACAAATCAGGGTTTCTCCCAAATAAGTAATACTTCTTCTCATCAATAATGAGTTTCTAAATAAATATTAAATTAAATATTACTTAAATCTTGTTACAACAAGGTTTACCAAAAACTCCAAGTAAATAAGGATTTTGAGTTGATACAATTTCTTGCTAAGGAGAAAAAAATAAATTCCCATTGCTTGTTTATTTTTTTGGTACTGGGGATTTAACTCAGGGGCAATTACCACTGAGCCACATTTCTAGCCCTTTTTATTTTTTACTTTGAGACAGGGTCTCACTAAGTTGCTTAGGGCCTTGCTAAATTGATGCAGGCCTTGAACCTGCAATCCTGACTCAGTATCCCAAGCTAACAGACTTATGCCACAGTGCCCTGCTTTTTTTTTTTTAAACTCCAGAGCACAATAAAATCAGTTCATTCCCCACCCCCACCCAATGAGATCCCCCCCCAGTCTTTCCCACAGTGTTCTCCTAAGCAATCATCAAGGTCTAATCAGTCACATAAGGTACTAAATGGGGATGATCCTTCACATTCATTACATTAGTTCCTAAATGATCAATATCCAGTATCTTCACCTCTGGGCAAGAGAAAAAGTATTTTGATACATTATTTCACCTACTGGCTCCTGGAAGACTTACTACTATTACAAAAATGTGTCATCAATATCTTGAATGATTTTTTCCTAGGGCACTGGATTTATCCAAATTCAGCAGAAACTCTTTTGTGGCGAAATTGTTGGGAGAACTGAGGTCAGGGGGTTACTGAACGGGAAAATATGTCTCTGTCCATTCCATAAGCATGTCATTAACCATTTTTTCCAAGCCAGAGGGTGTAGATGACCAAGAATGCTTCACCCATAGACTGCTGCACCTTGGTATGCCCATTATTCCTTAACATAAAGAATAATTTACTAAGACATTATGGAATGGAGGAATGTTAATTAACCTACCCAAATGCAGTGTTTAATTGTCTAGTGTTGGGATGAAAATAGCTTTTCCTAATTCTCCTAGAGGCAATAAGTCTGTCTCCAAGAGATAAAAAATTCTTCTGCCTATTGGAAATTTTCTTGGTTATTAAATTTAGTTCAAATAGGAAATAAGAAGTGCAAAATATGTCCATGAAGTAATAAGACTGCTCTTCAACTGGATGCAGTGGCACATGCCTATAATCCCAGAGGCTTGGGAGGCTGAGGCAGGAGGATCACATCACGAGTTCAGAGGCGCTGAGCAACTCTAGTGAGATTCTGTCTCTAATAAAATACAAAATTGGGCTGGGGAATGTGGCTCAGTGGTGAGTGTCCCTGAGTTCAATCCCTGGTACATCCCCCCCAAAAAAACAGATTGCTCTTCAGAAAGTATACATTCAAATGAAGATCATCACTTGATTGGAAAAGGAATGGGGTATATTTTAATCATGCAGCCATATCCCCCAAGAATTTCTGGAACTTTCTTTCTTTTTTTTTTTTTTTAATATTTATTTCTTAGTTTTCGGCAGATACAATATCTTTGTTTGTATGTGGTGCCGAGGATCGAACCCAGGCCGCACGCATGCCAGGTGAGCGCGCTACCGCTTGAGCCACATCCCCAGCCCTCTGGAACTTTCTTTAGATACTGGAATTACATTAGACATCACTGTATGAATGCCCAAATCCAACTTACCGTCTCATTTTACTCTGGCTACAAAAAAGTATTATATAGAGTCAATTCTAATGAGTATTTACTATGTCTAAATGTGAACTTCCTTAAGTAGCAAAGACTTTCCAAGTTTGGGGGAAGACAGTATGAGAATTAATATTTACTGAAGGACTATTACTGCTAGGCATTTTAAACACTATCTCATCTAATCCTCAACTCTGTGAAGCAACTATCACTTTTTTTTTTTTTTTTTTTTGTGATGCAGGGAATTGAATCCAGGGCCTTGTACTTGCAAGGAAAGAACTCTACCAACTGAGCTATATCCCCAGCCTGCAACTATCACCTTTATTATTAATGATGAGAGAACAGAGTCAGAGATGAAGTCATCTAATGTGGTTGGGTAAGTATGCAGCAAAGGTGGGACTTAAACCCAGGTATGACCGATCTGTAATACTAATATCCTAAACAATGTGCCATGGGTCTGGAGCAATTCTGAGAAGAACTCTACAATGTTTCAGCTGCTATAATATAACAGCAGAAAGCAGAATTTCATGGACTAGCAAGCTATTATTAAAACACTGTGGGGCAATGGGTTTGATTCCCAGTACAAAAAGAAAGAAAAACTGGGGAAAATGCTGACATGTTTACCTTTTATTTTGTCAAATAAGGGTGTGTGTGTGTGTGTGTGGTGGAAGGAGATGCTGGGGACTGAAACCAGGGGCTTGGGAATGCTAGGCAAGTACTCTACCACTAAGCTACACCTCCACAGCATTTAACTGTCATGGCCCAGTATCATCATCATTTTATACAAGAAGGGTCACTTTATCAGAAGATGAGAAGGAAGGGCAAGGATGAAGGATCATTCTTTGAGCTGAATTTAACTTTATAAAAAACTCACCCCACTTCTGTTTTTATATTTCTTTTAATCCTGATCAATAAATCCTTTGCCACAGATTGGTGTAAACCAAATTATAACAGAGGAAGGGTTCCAGGGTGAATTTTTACTAGCACTTTTTCCAATTCTAGCAGTCCAGAACATTGCTAGTGGTCCAGTAATCTAGTCTGACCACTGAAGAACATCCCTCATTCATATATGATGTATTTTATTTATTTTTGGTACTGGGGAATAAACCCAGGGATACTCTACCACTGAGCTACATCTCCAGCCTTTTTTTTTAATATTTATTTTTTAGTTTTTCAGCGGACACAACATTTTTGTTTGTATGTGGTGCTGAGGATTGAACCCGGGCCACACGCATGCCAGGTGAGCGCACTACCGCTTGAGCCACATCCCCAGCCCCTCCAGCCTTTTTTTTATTGAGACACTGTCTTGCTAAATTGCTGAGAATGACCTCAAACTTGAGATCCTCCTGCCTCAGTATCCCAAGTTTCTGGGCTTACAGACATATGCCTGGCACCTTTTTCCTCTAAATACAAAGTAAAGCTCTAGTTTACATTTCACATTAACTCTTTCTATAATCTCTTGAGAAAAGACAGCACAAAGCTGAGAAGTATAGTCAAGTTAGTACTAGACTAGGAATCAAGAAGTTGTATTTATTCCTAGCTAATTTCTTGAAGTCAGTGAGTTACTGTTCTCCCCTATGCCTTTAGTGTCACTGTACCTCATGCAAAGAGACTCTCAGCACTGATAACAGTAATAACTGCTGAACATTTATGTGTCACATGCTGTGTTATGAAAGTTTTACGTTGTCATTTTAGGTGAGGACAGCATCTTATAAGGTGAGTAGGTACTATGCTTCCTATTTTTATAGATAAAAAATCTGAGACATAAATTAACATACTCAACTTCATGCAGCTAGATATTTGTGGGGTGGGTTAAAAATTGAGACCTTAGTGTCTAGGTTCTTTTTTTTTCTTTCAATTTTTTATTTGAACAGCATGTCTTTATTTATTTTTATGTGATGCTAAGGTTTGAACCCAGTATCTCACACGTGCTAGGCAAGTGCTTTGCCACTTAGTTACAGCTACAGCCCCAGCCCCAGCCCCAGCCCCAGCCCCAGCCCCAGCCCCAGCCCTGGTGTCTAGACTCTTTTAACCATATTAATATTTTCCTCATTCCTAACATCAAAAGATGTACCACATAACAAGGAATATTTTCAGGAGTGAATAAGTACTGTGGGTCACATTATTTTTCTTTAAATAACCACTTACCCAGTTTATTTCAAACTTTAGCTTGAAGTTTCAATGAGTTCAAGCTAGCTTGGATATGTGAGTCACCTCTAGGAAATCCATTTCCAACAGTGTCCATCTACTGCTGGTAGCACTCATTCCAGGGCCATACTACTACAGAGCACCAGGACTTAATGATTCAATTAGATAGTCACCCTTGTGTCTGCTTTGGCCTAAGTTTTAAGATTTGGGTTAAAAATAATACATTGCAGGGCTGGAGTTGTAGCTCAGTGGTAGAGTGCTTACCTAGCATGTGTGAGGCACTGGGTTTGATCCAATAAAAATTGTGAAAAAAATTCTTAAAAAACAAGATATTGCTTTAGAATTAAGAAAGCCCTGGGCTGGGGTTATGGCTCAGTGGTAGAGCGCTTGCCTTGCATGTGCAAGGCCCTGGGTTCGATTCTCAGCACCACATAAAAATAAATAAAATAAAGTTATTAAAAAAAAAAAAAAGAGAAATAAAGGCTAATAAATTCTTAAAAAAAAGGAATTAAGAAAGCCCTGAAATTTCAACATCTTTTTTCTAGGTAATATTTATTCAGTCTGAACCTTAATACATTTTTCATTCATTTCAATATGCACACAGATTATGTTCTCATAAGTTTAAAAATGCCCACAATGTTCACAGTGGGTCATAAGGAATATATAAGACCACCAACTCTTGGATTCTGGAATAACAATGTCCAAATTTTATATTTGTAGGGTGCCACAGGCATACCAGAGATTAAGAGATCTGTTTGAAGCAAAAAGAAGAGGCCCTTAATTAAATGTATATATTCACTACCAGAGGCATCCCAATTGCAGAAATGTTCAAATGTATGGAACTTTAGTGGAAAACAGTATTTCTTACAATCAAGAAAATATGTTAAAAGGTGAATGAAATAATAAATTAGTTTTTCCATACTCATTAAGTCCATAACTCCTTGACCAGCTATGACCAACGTCACTATTCAGTTGTGCCTTTGAGTTATAACTCAGAGTGTATCTTTACACACTGGGCTTAAAAGACTCATGGCTTTATTTTAATATTGCACTTCTTCAACCCAGCTACCACAGCATATCACAAGCCTTTGACACAAGGCTAGGATATAGACAGCTCGGTTAGTATCAAGTGCTGATGAAAATCTAAATCCTTAAACACCTCTGGGCTAGGGATGTAGCTCAGTGGTAGAGCACTTGCCTAGCATGAATGAGGCCCTGGGTTTGTTTCCCAGCACTGCAAAACACATTTCTTAGGTCTATTCCTACCAAGAACAATACAGAGATGTCTATGGATTGTAACTTGATAACTGCGTGGCAACTCAGTATACCTAAGAGCACTGAAAGAGAACATTATCAGCAAATGGAAACCAGTAATCATAGGGGTAGTGGACAAATTACAGTGCTTTGAAAATATAAATTATTTCACAAAAGAATATGATGTTATCATTAAGGCTAGGCCTCTTTGTTCCTATTGCAAACAGGCAGAAAAAAAGATTTAGTAAATTCTTGTAACAAAATAGATTTTTATATACCTTCAAACTTCAAGTTATCCTACTTAGCAACAGATATATTTTCTATCTGTGGAACCACCTATAGTAAAAGAGATTTTACAGCTATTTTAGTTAAATTATTTTCTTGAGTATTCTTGACATTTAACCAAAGGGATCTATGTGTCTGGCTGAGAGCTAGAAGAATTAATAATAGGAGAATTCACTGTAACCCATAGATGCTTTCATATTTTGCAAAGTATCTAGTTATTGCCACAACATCTTGAAAGTGACAATACATTTGCAGAGCATCCTTCAGAAGACCATTAGCTTTTCAAGCTATCAACCATGGAATTACAATGTTTTTATTCTATACATTGAAGAAAAACTTCATGGGGCTGGGGTTATGGCTCAGCAGTGGAGTGCTCGCCTTCACACGTGAACCTCACACGTGGGTTCAATCCTCAGCACCACATAAAAATAAAAAAATAAAATAAAGGTATTGTGTCCAACTATAATTAAAAAAAATAGATATTTTTAAAAAAGGAAGAAAGAAAAACGGCTGGGGATTTAGCTCAGTTGGTAGAGTACTTGCCTTGCATGCACAAGGCCCTGGGTTCAATTCCCAGCACCACACACACACACACACACACACACACACACAAAAAAAAAAAAAACCAACCAACCGCATTCAGTATTAGGGCCTTGAACCTAAATTATAGCTGAATAACCAGTATGCTTAATCTCCACTTCTTAGTAAATAACACAATATGGATTTTTAAAAAACTTACACAATCTAACAGCTAACTTGTTTTCTTGAAAATCTATGTGGTATTCACTCTAGAGACTTGTATAAAGCTGAAATTCAGCTCAACTTTTTCTTTATTGTACTTATTTCAATTATAATTATGCAATTTTTTACGTGATTCTCTCTAAAGAGTAATTAGAGGACAGAAAACTTTTGTTCTGTCCTCTTTTGTAGTCTCTTCTGCTAACTCAGTGACACGCACATAGTAAACACCCAATAAATGTTTTGAATGAATGAATTTTACTGTCATCCTATGTTGAGAAAGTGGCTTAGTTTACTATACTTCTTTGAAGGTGTTGGGCCTGAATCTCACAGAAGCAACTCAAAAGTTAAACTCAGTCTATACCATTCATTTTCTTCTTCGGTTATTGCATACCTTGTGCCTTCCACACAATTCCATGTACTCAGAGAGAAGGAATTCACCAAGAAGGCTTCCAGTTTGATTGGGGCCTACAGGCCCATGACCTATTAAAACTCTTCATTTGGAAGGTGAGAGAAGTCACAAAAAACTGAGTGTCTGTGGGAGATATGAGCTTTGAATGTGTAATATCGTCATAAGCTTTTAATAGAAAAAAATTTCAGGATGAACGAAAGTAGCATTGCTGGAAAACAAAGCACAGGAGAGGGGGTGGAATAGTGAGTCACTGGCAAAAATCTTTAGAATGGGGGGGGGGGGCAGGGAGACATATATTTTCATACCTCAATTAGTTTGTCTCCTTTGACTACATCCAGATGTAAACCAGGTGGGGGTTTACCTGCCCTGAAAAAAAGATGTAAAAATAATTTTCAGGATGAGTTCATAAATGTTATTTACAATTATTGTTCCATTCAATATTGCATCTCCCTTACCAGCCTATAATTAGTTCATGTTCAGGCAAAATGTCATCTACTTAACTGTTACAGCTCCTTTCTACATTTGACACTTATTTCCCAAGAGATTCAATTGCTCTAAAACAGATTTTAGTGGCTCTGTATTTAGAGCAGCACTAAAGAAACCTATATTTTAACATTGGATAGTCACTTCAAAGAGAAAGCAGCAAAGAGGCCGGAAGTACTACACCTGGGGTAGTCTGGTCACCCAGAGTTTGAATCTTAAGACTTGCTACTACCCTAATATACAAAGGTAGAATAATTAGTTGTTGCTTGGTGCTGGTCAAGATTAGTCTCATCATAGAATAAGCAGAAGATATTGTTCTGAGCTCTAAGAACAAATCAGAGATGCATCATTAGGGAACTAGGGCAATTCAGAATCATGCCCACAAAACCAGGTACCAAAACAGGAGGTGTGTTACTCTTGAACAAGTCTTTCTACAACGACATGATAATGCAAAGTTCTACACTTCACCATACCATTCAAGGGGGACATACATATGTCAAAGTACTTAACACAATGCCTGGTACGTAACAGATCCTGATAAAATGGTAGGTGATCTAAAAGAATCTCTTCTAACTATGTTTGCATTTGAAATCAATGTAGCCATAGATCAAAATGGATACATAATTTGTAGACTGAAAGCAACTGGATGTTACAAAAGTGTAAAGGAATCCATAAAATATCCACACATTCACTTGCTTCTTGGATTTAATCATTTGATGTTTAAAGAACAATCTTACCAGAGGCCCTACATTTGAACATGAAAAATGTATCCTATCTAAAACTGAAGATGCAACATAGTCATCTCATAGTCCTATCCCAACTTCTCTATGGCAATAATTAAAAGAACAATGCACTGAACAAAAGCCCATTTTGACCAGAAAACAGGGAAAGGAATGTTAAATCCAAAACATACTTTCTTAAGTCCTACTATGTGTCTGACTCATGTTTAGGAGCTGAGAATACAAAGACCCATCAGTCTCTGCCCTTGAAGATCTCACTATAACAGGAGACAGAGGGATAAGACGTTAATAATACACTGTGATGAGCTACAGGAGAGAAAGCTCTAACTGGGAAGCGTCTCCTGGCAAAGCAATTATTCATTCATCTTGTACCCTACCCAAAGGCTTAATTATCCCATTATTTTCCAAAACTTTCCATGGGATGAAAAGCATTCATTTCCACAATTACTGATGCTTTTTGTACCAGGCTTCATGAGGACCACTGAGAACAAGGGGATTGGTCAGCGCCATCCCTGCCCTCGGGAAGCTCCCAGTCTATGGAAGACATTAGAGTTTTGCACACAGAATGCAGCAAGGACAGAAGGATATAGGGCTCTGAGGCTGGGTTGGGGTCGGGAAGCTGGCTCGTGCGCGCTCCGGATGTACAGGAGGGGGATCAGGTACAGCGCTCCACAAGAGCACCAGGCACTCAGTCAGGAGTTAGGGGTAAGTTCGGGGCCAAGGCCCCAAACCTCACAGGCGAGCGGCTCAACACCCAAAGGACTGCCTAAGTGAGCTCCTTTGAGTCCCCAATCCCAGGTTTCCTCAGTTCTTGGGCCCGAGCTTCATGTTCCCGGTTCCTCCACACGTCGCCCGGCCCCTCACAGCGGACAGTTTTCCCTTAACCATTCCAGGGGTTTTGAGCCGTTCGGTTCGCCGCCAAAGAAAACCAACCTCCTTTCCTGCCCAGTATTGCTGGGGCCAGGACACTCCGACCCCAGCCGCCCCGCCACTCACCAGGTCGGACAGTCGAACAGCGGGAGGCTGGAGCCGGAGTTCGCGGCTGCCGCCATCTTGCGTCTCCCCCTCCCATTTGGCGGGCCCGAAGCACGCCGGGAAACTGGAAGACCGGGAGGGAAGAGGCGGCTTCCCAGCAGCCTGCGCGCACGCACGCGCGCGCACACACGCACGCACGCACGCGAGGCGGCGCCTCTAGTGGTACTAAGCTGATTTTGAGATCTTTTCAGAGTTGACCTCTGGGCTTCTGTACCGGTAGGCTGGGCTGTCAGTGGAAAACGGGCTTAAGGGTGGAGAGTCAGTCTCTGTCTACATCCTCCTGCAGATGCTCACGAGCTCTATAAATCTAGCGACTGCGTGGTCCCCTAGGGCTTGCCCTCAATTTAGAGAAAGACTAGAGGGCAATATTCAGAGAGCAGAGTGCTTATTCATTCTGTTTCTCCTCTTCCGGCCCTTTTCCGGAAAGCTGCATCCTACCCACTTGCCCTACGTGTGGGCCTTGAGGGCTTCTGTAGATTATCTGGGAATTTGTATTAGTATGTTTATGAAAACTGGACAAGCTGGAGCAGATCCAATCAGAAGGCAGGCGTCTGTATCTTGACTGTACATGACTCAAATGGTTAATCAAGTTGTAACCCACTGGGATTTTTTTCTTTTGGTCATAATGCTCATACTGTGCAAGAAAGCATTAGAATTGCAGTCTTGCGGTAGGCCACCAGCTGACTGAAGGAGATCAACTACAGGGCCTTTGGTTGTAATAGCTATGTGTATTGAGTAACTAAGTAGTTACCTGGGCCAAGGGCCAAGTATGTATTTTATATGAATCTTTCATTTAAGCCTCATAACACTTTTTTTTTTTTTTGGTACTGGGGTTGAACCCAGAGGTGGTGCTTTATCCCTGAGCTACATCCCCAGCGCCTACCCCATCCCTATTTTTTGAAATTTTTAAGACAGGGTCTCCCTAAGTTGCTTAGGGCTTTGCTAAATTGCTGAGGCTGGCCTTGCAACCACCTCCTGCCTCAGCCTCCTGAGTTGCTGGGATTATAAGCGTTTGTAACTGGCCCTGGCAACACAACACTCTTTGAGATAAGGATTATTATGATCCCTGAGTCTACTTAATGCCAAATGCTCATTAATAACTACCATCTCTCATACTTTTATTTTGTTATAATATTTATTGGTATGCAACAGATGGCCCATTTTTTACTTTTGCCGGAAGTCAGAGAATTATCAAACCTGCAGTTTTTATTTTAAAGAAATGAATTGCATCATTATCATTACCCAGAAACAGGCGTTGCTCAACAAAATATGGAATCATCTTTGTATGATGGAAGTTTCCTTTATTGATTCCCTTCTGCTGGTACTGTATAGATCATATGTAGAAAATCAGCCTATTCAGAAGATTTTGCCTGTAGTGAAGTCTCTGGTACTCAAGATTTAACTGCAATATTAACTTGAAATTTAAAATGATAAACTCCTAGGTAGGTTAAAGAATCACTTTTAACTCTGGTCTTCAAAGCACAATAAACTCATCCAGATAATCAGATCACTTATCAAATGGCCTGTAAACCCATTTTGTCCCATTGTTCCAGATGTAGAACACCTATAAAAACTTGGGCAACAAATATGCCACTTATGGTAACTTTGAAATAATTATGTTATTGGAGATAGTTTCTTTTGAGAAAAGTAATAGGTGAATGGTTAGTGTTTGAAAAAATATGTAAAGGACATACAAGCTCTAGATTATAATTTCTAACCTATGGGAAACTGATGCGTCTGTTGTTAATTTTGTTGAAATACATAATTAAGAATTTGGTAATTAATGAATTCATATCCCCCTTTTCAGTCTGGTGATTCCAAATTAAGACCAGGCAGATAGGAAAAATCCTATTCCTAAACTTAATTTCAAGGAAAGAAGTAATTCTAGGGCTGGGGATATAGCTCAGTTGGTAGAGTGCTTACCTTGCATGCACAGGGCCCTGGGTTCAATCCCCAGCACCAAACAAAAGAAAACAAGTACTCCTATGGCTCCCTCCTTTAAGCACAAGGATACGATTCTTTAGAAAGAAGGAAATAGTCTCAAACATGTTCTGATTTGTAACAGAAAAGAATAACATACTTTTTATCTACAGTGATTATATGGGCCTTTGAGGTTCATGCCCATTTCAGGGATGAGGTGATATTGAAGCCATTTCTAGCTATCAATGACCTGACAAAATCTTATTTCAACTTTGCCTTTCAATTTCTCAGCTTCTTCACATGGTCCTTCCAGTATAATCCATACAGCCAAGAACCCTAAAAGTTATAATCTTACCCTTATAATTCTTTACTCCTTGGCCATGTTCCCCATTTCCAGCTAAGCTGATATTCACACTGGCCTCTGATGTAATGGGACCTTACATTTACCCAGGTCCTTATAAAGCAAAATGCTCTTTGTTTGGGCGCCAATGATGTCAGTACAGACCAGCAAACTGGAGGACAGTAATGCAGGCCTTTCACCTTTTAAAATGGAGACTGTTGAACTAACTGCCTTTGGATTTTGGTATCTCAACAAAGAGTGGACTAGAATCTAAAGACATTAGGAACATATCAGTGTCAAAAAACTTTAAAGCATCTTTGATATGACTTATGAATGATCAAATGGAGTATAATCCATTTGAAAAATTGTATGTGTAGACAATATAAGCTGGAAGCTTCATTTAATAGGGTGGTAAATGAAAAGAAGTGCACAACGTGCTGACATAAGAAAGAATGTTCATGAGAAGTTGGGTAGAAATGATCATTTCCTCAGATTTTTAGGGACTTACAAGCATGGTGGTGCATAGCTATAATCCCAGCAATTCAGGAGGCTGAGGCAAGTTCAAAGACAGATTCAGCAATTTAGCAAGGCCCTAAGCAATTAGTAAGACCCTATCTCACTTGTAAGCTGTATGACTATGGGCAGATAACTTACTATACTTCAGCTTTCTGAGCCATTAAAAAGGGAGTCGTCACATAGCTTTGTAAGTTAATAAAATAAATATAAAACATTTAGCATAGTATCTTGCCATTAGGGTTAAAATATTCCACAAATGACCATTCACATACCGAGCATCCTCTCAAGCCTTTCAATTCCTTATTAGACTGCTATTCCTGCCTCAGGCCTTTCACTGTAAAATAATGAGGCTAGTCTACATGGATAATTCAGGACTTTAGAGATGTCATGGACCAGTCAATATAATGCAATACAGGGTAGCATTTTTTTTATTTTGCCAATTAGATTTTTAAAAATGAAGTCTGCCACTTAATATCACCAGCATTTTACTTCAATAATATTAAAACACTCTGTGTGTGTGTGTATGTTGCTGGGGATTGAAACTGGGGCCTTGCACATATTGAGCTTTACCAATTTACCCCCAGCCTTTTTAAAAAGTTGGAAGACAATAGGGATGTTAGCTTAGTGGTAGAGACTTATCTAGCATGTGTGAGGACCCAGATTGGATCCCCAGAAACTTGGAGGTGGGGGTGGGTAAGGCCACCACTTCATTTTTCTCGTTTCTCCATGGACTGTTATAAACTTGATCCTTGATCATAAACCAACACTAAAGACTGTATTATTGCAAATTTATTTCTTAAACATTAGATTAGGGATATAGCTCAGTGATAGAGTGCTTGCCTAGTGTGCAGGAGACCCTAGGTTCAATACCCCCCCACACACTCACACACAAATTAGTGCTATATTGTGAATCAAATTTCATTTAGATGAGGTATTCAAATGAGCAACTCAGTTGGTCCAAAAGTAGATCCTGGGCTAAGAATCAAAATCTTTCAACCATATCTTGGTTAAATGGAGATTCTAAAGTAATTCTATTTTGTGGTACTGAAAAGTAAAACTGAAAAAATCCTTTGAAGCTTAAGGATACATTCAATATGCTTGGAAAAGCAGAGAAGAAGCAGGTGATTCCTAGCTTATGGAACAGGATGCTAGACTGAGACATAAGTGAAGCTCTGCTCTGCACTTAGTGATCAAAAGCAAAAGTTGCATTTCCATAACTATGGTCATTTTATTTTACCTAGATTCAACTAGTTTTTCACAATCATGACTAAGTCTCTGAATAGAAAGAAAAACTGAATGCAAGAGGCTGAGTGTTTTGCTTTGCACGGACAGAATAAACTCATTTTAATGTTTTTGCCCAATGATGCAAGACAGTAAAAGTTTGGTTTGAGAGCTAGATTGTGCATTGCAGTGGGTGAACACTCCCATTTCCAGTCCTTACAGAAATCACACACACACACACACACACACACACACACACACACCCTCTGGGAGCATCAGTCTTATCATTTAGCAAGTTCTTGTTCTAAAACATCCCCAGATGAAGTGGCCAGAATGACATTTCTACTTTACTCGTACAAGTTTTAATTCATTTAAAGAGAGGATGCTCCTAGAACATTTCAATAAAGGAAGGTAGAATAGGCTATGAGAAGAGGAAAAGGGAGTAGAAAGGCAAACATACAATTTGTATGTTCATACTAAACCCATCATCTTTCTAATCAATTTTATAGCTGGAAAGAACTATTGAGAAATTTGGGGCCTATGGGTTAAGTGATCTGTCCAAGTAGCCTCAGTAAGTTAATGGCAGAGCTAAAATTCTACAGGTCTTTTGTAATCCAGTCTACTTTTTGACCTCCACGCCAATGGTTCTCACCATGACCACACATAAGAATTACCCGGAGCTTTAAAAAATTCCCATGCCCAAACCATTGTCCAGACTAATGGAATTAGAATCTTGGGGTGGGGAGGCTAAGGTATCAGTATTTTTTAAAGTTTTAATTAAAAGTCATAGTTAAGAACCACTGTCCCAGATCATAGTGGTTCCAAAGAGAAGAAAGGCAGAGGGAAGGAGGACTCTGTGAATAAGTTTATTAGGCCCATCTAGCAAGTCCTTTGGCACCTGCCACAAATCCTAGGCAAAGTTCATATTTGCTCACTGTGACCATCATTACAACCACCACTGATCACACAGTACTACAGAATAGAACTATGGTCACTTTATTTTACCTAGATTCAACTAGTTTTCCACAATCAAAACTTTTCCTTTTCTGGAATGTTTACAAATGATATATCCAAGTCCAACGGTAATTTGGAGCAGAAAGGCAGTGAACCAGAACTGTGCCACTCCAACAGCTCTATCCTCTTTCAACTTACTTCCACCCGTGCTGGACCTTCATCAGGTCTCCAGTCTTGCAAGTCTCAATTTTTCTCATGACAGCATGTTTCTTTAGTATCTATCTCATTAGGATGTTAACTCATAAAAACTTATTACAGGCCTGGGGTTGTGGCTCAGTGGTAGAGCACTTGCCTAGCACATGCGAGGCACTAGGTTTGATCCTCAGAACCACATAAAAATAAATAAATAAAATAAAGGTATTGTATACAACTACAACTAAAAAACATTTTAAAAAACTGACTACAAAAGCTTTTCAAATGTTTATTTGTATTAAATAGGTAGAATGGTGCAAAAGTGCAAAGAAACTTATGCATTTAGGCTCTTGTTTCCCTGCTTTTCACATTAATTTAGTACAAGAAAATTAATTAGCATTAAGGGCATCTGAAAGAAATGAACATAAATATATGTTAAGTAGCCAAATCTTTAAATTCACTAAAGGATGAACTATAATTGTTGGCCCTGTTCACATTTATGTACCTAGGCCTGTGAAAAAGGGAAGTGGACAACATATATATTACAGGACAGCAATCTTTTATTGAATCTTTTTTGTCTAAAACTATGCATGGAGTTTTATTTACTCATAAATTAGAATGAGTCTAACATCACTATACCAAACCAGTATTATTTACAAAAATGAACCTTTGGTTTATCACCAGGTTCACAGGACTAAGTTTTAAATCCACTTCAGTTTAACTTTTAAAATCTCTCTGCCATCAAATGCCCAGAAACCCTTACAGGGTAGGGGCAGCCTTTTGACAGCAAATTCATCATTCACCAGGAATGTAAAACCACAAGTGAACAACAACAACAGAAAGATTAAATCATTCCAAACAATTCCTATTTGCTTTCCAAAAGCATGCTATGTCTAATTCTCCCTTTCTTTGCAGACAGGTGGGAGAAGGACCCATAGAGTACATTAATATTGATTAAATTAACCTCTTTGAAAAGGAAGCAAGATGGCTTAGTGTATATGAGGATGAACTGCTGTGGATGACACTAGCAGATAAAGTAAACTTCAAACTCAATTAAAACACATACCCAGCAACCAGCCAGTTCAAACAGATAACTTCTCATCTTTTTTCTCATTCAATTTAAATCACAGGTATTCTCCAGTTAAATATAGTGCCAAAATTTTGCAAAACAGGTAATAAACTTCTTATAAATTCAAATTAGAATGTTAAATAATAAAAATTGCTGGCATATTGTACAGTTTCTGACAGACTCCAATATGCTGGGTCCCAGAAAGTAATTCATCTCAGTTGCTAGTAAAAAGGTAAATTTTATATATACATAAAAAGACAATATAATGAGACTGTAGTGTCGTCTGTCAAAAAGAATATGTAGAATGGAATTTTCAGTAAACGCCTGGAATGAAGGGCAATCAGAAAACAAGAGAAAGCAAGATTCATATAAGTTAATTCCTAATTTGAGAAATCAATAAATTGTATACATAAATTGATAAATACTGTCTCCATAGGTCACTAATTCCAAGGACTAGTTAGTAGTTAGTTTCTAACTAAATTATTACAGGACATTCTGGTGTATGCTCTCTTCTTGTGATCAGTTTGTTCTCGCAAGACTCCAACAAGCACTTGCTTTTGAAAACAACTCAGCAGAAGGCTCTGAGGCAGTCACACTTCATTTAGAAACTTGCCAGATAATAACTATCAAGACTCCAATAATCACTGACAGGACAAGTACCAGGATACACATCTTCTTGCGAGATTTTTTCTGAGGAAAGAAATGAAGACACTCATGAAACAAGTAAAATTTTCTATATCTAATTAGACTCCAAGAGTGCTTCATAAATTTGCCTCCTTATAATTCAAAATCAACTCTACCCATGCACAAATATGAAGAGACTTCCCCAAAATCTCTAAGTTACCACCAGTAGGCAGTAATACAGATTTTAATTGTTCCCAAATAGTTTTGCATATACCTATGCTGTTAGGCATTATTTGCAGTAAGTGATTTGTACATGTGTTTTAGTAACAGTTTTATACCTATTATAAAATTTTATGTTCATTGTATTAAAAAAAAAAAAGCAAAAAGAGAAAATCACCCATTGATAAAACCACTGACTGCATTCTTATCTCTTACATATGCATATTGTTGTCCAACATAATTGGGATCATACTGTATGATTTTGATATTTTTCTCAATGTTTATCATCAACATTTTTGTTATTATAAACTCTTCATAAACATCTCTTAATTTAAACATCATACAACATCAAGTGGGTATATATGTAATGGACACTAAAGCCATCACCTAGTTTTTATAGAGCATTCCCAGATAAAATATACCCTGAAAAGTATTTTCTGGAAAGTGACCGAAATGCTATTTATTTATTAAAAAAAAAACAAACAAAAAACGTGCAACCTAAATTGAAGGGAAATAAGAAGGACTTATTTACAATATTTGTACATTGAAATAAAGACCAAAAATTCATAAAACCAGAGTCTCAACCAATAAGTGGAAGAATTTCACTTTATAGGCATAGCTTAATAATAATTAAGCCTTATTTATTCACATATAAGTAGCTATTATAGTTGATTCTATGTCCATCTTCTATAGCCAGTATCTATGAAACCCCACTTTACCTGTACCTCTTACTATCCTAACTCAAATACATTTCAGCTGCTTAGGATATAAGATTATTCTTATTCTAGGTTCAGCTATTATGGCTAGCTTATGGGGTTAGCTTTGCAGCTAAGAGGGTTTTGTATAAATTTATTCAAGATTCGATCAGGTAAAGGAAAATACTAAAACAGAACCAGCAAAACAATTATGACTACTTGCCTCCAGCTTAAGCCTAAAGAAGAGGCTGCAGCTGTTTAATGTGTCAATGTACCCTGATGGCCTATAAAGTGTGCAATACAGAATGACCTTCTTTGGTATCTACTTTTACCTGATAGTAAGCAGCTCGCTGTAACTGATCAGTGGCTCTTTCAACATGCACCTCTGAGCTTTCCACATTGGCTTCTATGCTATCTGCAAAAAGGACAGGGGAAATTTTAGCACACTTGGATATTATGAGTCCTGGATTTGCTATCACCAGTCATGAAATCAAAAGTTACTACCTCAGTAAGAGAATAACCCTATTCTTTGGAAATAAACACTGAAGTATTTAGGGATAAGGATTTAAGAACTATGTGACTAAATGGTTCAGAAAAAAAATACATAAAAACATTCTGTGTGTGTAGCGCAGTTTTCCACTGACCAACAAAGAGCTGCTTGGTTTGTGGATGGCAATTCCAAAGTGAAAATCCAATATCCTGTTTGGATATATACACAACACAGACACATACATGTACACACACAGAGTGAGAGTACAAACAAAGTCAATGGGGCAGAATGATAACAAGATGTAAATTTGAGTAAAGGGTATAAAGGAGTTCCTTGGTTTTTGTTTTTTTTTTTTTGGTGGTGCTGGGGATTGAACCCATGGCTTTGTGCATGCAAGGCAAACACTCTACCAACTGAGCTATATCCCCAGCCCAAGTTCCCTGTATTTTTAAAAACTTTTTATAAACTTAAGATTAATTTCACATAAAAAGTTTTTAAAAAGTCATGAATCCCATAATTGTGCAAGTATCTGGAGAGAAAAGCTGGGAAGCTGATAGCTATTTGTTTAAGCAAAGACTTCCCAAGAAGCTATGGCAAGTGAATAGGGCTAATTATTCACAAAGGCCTCTCTTTACCTTCCACATTTGACAATATATGAATATTACTAAGAAAATGAATTTAGTAATTTTAAAATTATAATCCCAAACTTTAGTTCTATATTTGACACATCTTACTGACTTCTTGGCACACAAATACTTTCAACTCACCTTGATATTAAAGGTATCAATAATACATACCAATCAGATCACCTTGGTCATGGATCATCATGGCCAAATCTTTAAATATCTGATTGACATCCAAAATGTCAGCCTAAGGGAGACAAAAAACAACTAACATTAAGCAACATGTTAGATGATTCCTTTCTTCTAGTTAAAGTTTTAGCTTTTTTGTTGTTTGTTTATTTTGTCTTGTTTTTGGCTGCTTTGTTTTATTTATAGTGGATTGAACCCAGTGCCTCATTCATGCTAGGCAAGTGCTCCACCACTGATCTATACTCCCAGTCCCACATGTGGTTTTTTGGTACTGGGTTTTGATCCCAGGGCCCTTTATCACTGAGCTACATGCCCAGTCCTTTTTTACTTTGAAAGTCTTTCTACACTGCTGATGTTGGCCTTGAATTTGTGATATCCCTGCCTCAGTCTCCCAAGTTACTGGGATTACAGGTGTGTATCACTGTGTCTGGCTTCCCAAATATGTTTTTAAAACTCTATAAAACATGATTTCTCTATAACAGAAAATAATCTATCACTATTTACCTAATAGCATAAAATGGAAGGCATGTAAACCCATCTGTCAAGCAATATTAGTTGAATGTGCTATATGGGAACCAGTGTGATCACCCAAGCCAAAAGGTTATAGAATAGAAGCTGGATTGCTGGGATGGATAAATTCTTGGTGTGATAGCTATAGATGGAGCCTAAATGGGGCCTTATGGCAAAAGCTTGTGAATGCCAACAAACAACAATGAGTACTGTGACTTTGGATTAGAAAATTTAAATGGTTTATATGGGATCTTGCTACCTGGTAAATGCAAGGAGGAGGGGATACTCACAGGAAGGAAGCCTATTTCCCCCCAGGACTGATTCTTTTGTTTTCTACTGCCATTTGGGCAGTTCCCTAGTGCCACTGGGGAAATAAGTACATGATAAGATAAATAAAAAGGGTGATATAGAGGAAATGACTAATGAGTGGTACAGAAAGGTGTGCAAAAGAGGAAGACTGCAGAAGAGACAGTCCTTGAGTTGTGCCTTAAAGCAAAGAAAAGGCCATATAAACAGAAAGGAAGTGAGTTAAAGAGCAAATAGTCATACCCAAACCACCCTGAATGTGCCTGATCTCATATAATCTTGGAAGCAAATAGACTAATTTGGCTATAACAAAAGGTTTGTATGCTAAGATAAGAAACAGTCGACTGACTAGGCTCGTTGGCACATGCCTGTAATCCCAGCAGTTTGGGAGGCTAAGGCAGGAAAATCACGAGTTCAAAGCCAACCTCAGCAAAAGCAATGTGCTAAGCAACTCAGTGAGACCCTGTCTCTAAATAAAATACAAAAGAGGGCTGGGGATGTGCTCAGTGGTCGAGTGCCCTTAAGTTCAGACCCTGTTCCCCCAAAAAAGAAATGACTGGATATGAAAGTTGATCCCAAGGGACTCTGTCAAATGTGAAGTGATCCCCATTCCTGACATTCATTACATTACATTCCTTTCCTTAACTCCATATGTCTCCCTCTGCTCCCTGTTCACATTTCTAACGTTAGAGAACCAAGTCAATGATTAGCAAGTGAAAAAGAGTAAAGGAGGGATTGGGGTTGTGGCTCAGTGGTAGTGCAAGTGTGAGGCACTAGGTTGGATCCTCATCACCACATAATAAACAAAATAAAGGTATTACGTCCATCTACTACTAAAAAAAAAAATTAAATAAAAAAGAATTTTTTTTAAAAAAGTAAAGGGAAAGATATAACATATTTTTGTTTGTATGTTTGCTTTTTATTAGTTCTTTTTAGTTATATATAATGTTAGGATTCATTTTGACATAATTATAAAAGAGATGTGATAGGGCTGGGGTTGTGGCTCAGTGGTAGAGCGCTCACCTAATATGTGCGAGGGCCTGGGTTCAATCCTCAGCACCACATAAAAACAAATAAATAAGATAAAGGTTTGTGTCCAACTACAACTAAAAAATAAGTATTTAAAAAAATGACACATTTGAAGAAAATAAAGTAGGCATAACTTGAGGATAAACTGTCTCATCTAAAAACAGACATTGGCCAGGCATGGTGGTACACACCTGTAATCTCAGCAGCTTGACAGACTGAGACAGGAGGATTTCAAGTTTGAGACCAGCCGTAGCAACTTAGCAAGGCCCTAAGCAACTTAGCAAGACCCTGTCTCAAAAAAAAAAAAAAAGGGGGGGGGGGGGGGGGGGGTACATGTAGTAAGTGGTAAAGCATCTCTGGATTCAATCCCCAGTACCCACCCCTGCCTAAATAAATAAAATAAAACAGACACTGATGGCCCCTCAAGCAGTGGGTCTCAATTTTGGCTACATATTATAACCATCTGGGGATTATAAAATATCCAGGGCCTCATCACTAGTAATTATGATTTAGCTGGAAATGTGGCTCAAGCGGTAGGGCGCTCGCCTGGCATGCGTGCAGCCCGGGTTCAATCCTCAGCACCACATACAAACAAAGATGTTGTGTCCGCTGAAAACTAAAAAATAAATATTAAAAAATTCTCTCTCTCTCTCTCTCTAAAAAAAAAAAAGAAAGAAATTAAAAAACATAGGCATCACTAGTAATTATGATTTATTAGGCTGAGCCTTATAAAAATGTGGATATTTGCCCATTTTTAACCTAAAAAAGGAATTTCACGTAATTGATGGTTCAGGAGAACTCAGGCATTTAAAAAAAAAATCTTCCCCAGGTGAATCTAATATGCATAAACTGGGTTCAAAACCACTGCTATAGATGAAGGTCAAGGAGGCACTCCAAGTTTCTCCGCTATTGTTCCCACCCCAGAGATGGCAGTCATCTACATCCATGGAGAAGAAAATCAACTTATTTAAAGATATATTACTGTTTACTATGTAAAGTTCAAGATGGAGCTCAGTTATTTAAGAAAGGTCTACAGACCCCCCAACACTCCAAACCTCTACTTCATAAACTATTTCCATTTCTCTGACCCAGTGAAATAATAATATCTACAACTTGGATTTGGACTCTAGAATTAACACAAAAATGGAATAAGACTTTTGGCCTGCCTATATACTGTGCTAATCAGACTAACAAAGGGGCTCTCCATAGAGTCATGCCCAGTCTAGAGGTGGCTATTGAGATTTAGGGGTAAAGTCCTAATAAAAAAAAAATATTCGTTTGTCTTGCTCTGTTCTCTGTGTATTTCTCAAGGAGACCAGGTAAGATGTGGTATTAGAGAAAAGGATTTGGGGACTGCTAAATGCCAAGGCCAATACCATCACAGCAACTTAGTAGCAGTAGTTAAAATCCACCATGACTAAATTGTGACAGATAATGTGCAAACCACATGACTCATTTTATGCTTTTTCATAACAACTGAGAAACTTCAGGCTTAAAATCTCAAATACCTGCAGATACACTGAGTCAAAACAAAAAACATGACCTAGCTCTCACCTCCAGCTGCCGAATAGCCGTTTCCCTCTCTTTAATGAGTTCCAGATCCTGCTCAGTGATGGCTGCCTCATCCTCCTGGCTCTGCATCTGGTTCCACTCTTCATGGCTGCAGGGAGACAAGCACTCTAGATGAATCCTCCTTCTTTAGGTGTGATGAGACATACCTACAATTCCTCTGTTGCCAGCAGAACCTATGTAAAGAATAACTGGGGCACCAACTCCTCTGTTATCACTATAAAGTCCCCAAGGACCACAAGCTTCATACCAGAGGAAAAGAGCTGGTAATACCAAGAAAACAGTCTCAGCCTCTGGGCAAAACTGAGATGAAGCAAAATTATTGGGGATGAGATTCCTTGATTTTTTCATTTAGGGATATACTCTGTAATCTTGTTAGGACTTGGTAGACAAGGAAAATAACCCAAGAGCTGAACTCAATGAATTTCTCTGACTCATCCTCTCCCAGGGCACTCTCTAAGTGCAAGCTGTATTGGTACTTTGGGTGGAGGATAGCAGGCTAAGTAACCTACCAGTGCTTCACCAATTCATTTAACAGAATCAAACCGCCTGGTTTTCAAAAATTTCCCTAAGGTTATGTTTTTGTGTTATATACCTCGTAACAGAAAACCAAAGTAAAACCAAAATTTATAATGAAATATTATAAATTCTGAAAGTATTTAGAAGAAATTATTATACTAGATACAGAACACTTTGAAAATGTAGTGATATGCATTTTTAAACAGTATGTATGAATCATACTTCATTTCCACATATTTAAAGAATGTCCTCCATGACTTGGAGATACAAACTGAATAAGTCAGGAGTCCTCCATGCCTTTAAGATGTTCATAGTGTAGTAGGGGAAATGGATACAGGATAAACATTTTTAAATTCTAATGCCATGAATACATATCTGAGATTAGCTTAGAGAAGAGACATCTTTCAGATACAAATTATCTGCTTTTTCTCTTCATGTTCCTAAAAGGATGAGTTGCCTCCTTTTCAGAGGTGAGTAAACAGAGACCTAATAACACTGGCAAACTTAAATCTGAATTAGAGATAAGATGACTGAGACCTCCTAATCTGTAGATTTGTGGGTTCATATTTATTCCCATGAGTCAAGCTTCATCCCCACAAAAGGGTATCAGGGGTTTCTTGAAATTTTTTATTCACCTTGAAATTATTCCTCCTTTAATTCAAAGATCTTAGAAAAGCCCATGTCTTCCCTTTATTTTGTACTTTTTTCTCATTATTTTGTTTTTGTTTCATTTTTGTTTGGTGGCAATGAAGATTTAACCCAAAGGCATTCCACCACTGAGCTTCAACCCCCAGATCCCAGACCCATTTTTTAAAAAGTATCTTTTTAGTTATAATGAACACAATATCTGTATTTTTATTTATTTATTTACTTTATGTGATGCTGAGGATCGAACCCAGGGCCTCATTCTAGCACTGAGCCACAACTGAGGAGTGATCCCCTTTTTTAAAAAAAAAATTCTGAGACAAGGTATTGCTAAGTTGCTGAGGCTGTCCTTAAACGTGTAATCTTCCTCCCTCAGTTTCCTGAGTTGCTGGGATTATAGGCATGTGCCACCACACATGGCTTCTCATTCATTTTTTTTCTCATTCATTTTTTAAAATTTATTTTTATTTTTGTAATTGTAGATGAACAGAATGCCTTTATTTTTATGCAGTGCTAAGGATCAAACCCAGTGCTTCACACATGCTAAGCAAGTACTCTGCCACTGAGCTATAGTTGTAGCCCTTCTTTTTTTTTTTAAATCTTTATTTTTTTTTTAGTTTTAGGTGGACATAATATCTTTATTTTACATTTATGTGGTTCTGAGGATCGAACCCAGTGCCCCATGCATGCTAGGCAAGCACTCTACCACTGAGCCACAACCCCAGCCCCTCTCATTCATTTAAAAAATTTTTTTTTTAGTTGTAGATGAACACAATATTTTTATTGTATTTATTTATTTATTTATGTGGTGCTGAGGATCGAACTCAGTGCCTCATACATACTAGGCAAGTGCTCTATCACTGGGCTACTACCCCAGTCCCCATTTTTTTGTTTTTTTGTTTTAGGTGGACACATATCTTTATTTTATCTTTATGTGGTGTTGAGGATCAAACCCAGTGCCTCACACGAGTGCGCTACCACTTGAGCCACATCCCCAGCCCTGTTTGTTTTTTGCTGGAAAATGTGGATTATTTTTAAAAATTTTTAAATTTGTTTTAATTAGTTATACATAACAATAGAATGCATTTATGCACTTTGATATATCATACAAAGATGGGATATAATTTCTCATTTTCCCAGCCCTCATTTTTTATATTAGGCTGAGATAGGAGGACCTCGAATTCAAAGCCAGCCTCAGCAATGGTGAGGCACTAAGCAACTCAGTGAGATCCTGTCTTTAAATAAAACATAAAATAGGGCTGGGGATGGCTCAATGGTCGAGTGCCCCTGAGTTCAATCCCTGGTACCCAAAAAATAAGTAAATAAATACATAGACAGACAGGAACAGTGGCATATGCCTGTAATCCCAGCTACTCAGGAAACTGAGACAGGACGATGGCAAATTGGGAGGCTTCAGAAACTTAGTGAGTCCCTGTCTCAAAACCAAAAATAACAAGGGCTGGGGATGTAACTCAGTAGTAGACCACCCTGAGGTTCAATTCCCTAGTACCATAGAAAGAATTTAATAGATAGACATACAGACAGATTAGATAAATAGGGACTCCCATCAACTATACATCAGGTTGGATAAATAATTCTTTACCTGTCAAATGAAACAAGCTGCTCCTCTCTTTGTCTCTCTTCTGCCTAGAAAGCAGATGGCATTATTATTGCTGTCATCCAGAAACATGTCACAGACACATAAAACAAGGGTTTGCTTAGTTATAGTATAAAGAATTAACATCCCTGGCTCCAACAGGATCTGTAAGATGACAAGAGGATGCTGGCAATCTGTCTCAACTAAGAAATGAGTGTGAAGTAGCTAAAAGCAAATCAGCATTTCAGCTGGGGCCCAGAACAGAAACCATACTAAAGAGGACCAGAAGAACATGGGTAGGAGAGAGGGATTATTCTCCTCTTCTTCATCACCATCATCACCACCACCACCACCACCACCACTTTGAAAAACATTTTAGCTGTATCCTCTACTGCTGAAGGACATCTGGTTGTTTTTAATTCTTTTTGTGGTGCTGGGGATTGAACCCAGGGCCTCATCCACACTAAGCTAGCACTCTGCCACTGTGCTTCACCCCCAGCCTCAATGTTTACAGTTTTTGACTACTACAAATAATGCTGCTCTGAACATTCTTGAATATACATCCTGGTATATGTATGCAGGTTCCTCTACGGTAGAACTGCTGAGTCATAAGGTATGTATATGTTCTGAAGAAGGAGCTAAAATGTTTTCCAAAATGGTTGCTCCTGGGCCAGATAGGAGAGTTCCTGCTCCATCATATCTAACAGCCACCCGCAGTGTTCACAGAATTTAAAATGTCTGCCCTTCTGGTAGACATGAAATAGTATTTCATTGTTGTTTTAATCAGAAAATCCATGACTAACTAAAGAGGCTAAGTACCCCTTCATTTGTTGGATCATTATTCAAAATAATACCAACATATTTGTTTGCCTTTTTCAATGTGTTGACATTTATACTCGTGAAGTAAAAGCAATGGTGGATAAAATGGCTCAACGCAGTGGCACCAAATACTGTCTTCTTCATCATCAGGCACTGTTTTTTTAAAAAAAACAGTTTATCTTTGATAAAGCCATACAAATTATTAATTAAATCTCTACCCCTTGAAATACAACTTTTTAATACCCTGTAGGACAAAATGTTAAGTATATATAACATACTTGTGTTGCATACTGAAACACGATGTTTATCTCTAAGAAAAGCATTGGCATAGTTCAGTTGCAGGCTGAATTAGGGAACAACACATTTTTATTTATTCAATTTTTTTTTTTTTGTAGGGAGTAGGGGTAGTGGGATACTGGACATTGAACCCAGGGGTGGCTTTATCACCAAGTTACATCCCAGCCCTTTTTTAAGTTTTTTAAAAATTTGAGACAGGGTCTCACTACTTTGCTGAGGCTGGCCTGGAACTTGTGATCCTCCTGCCTCAGCCACCTGAGTCTCTTGAGATTACGGGTATGTGCCACTGTGCCTAGTTTCAATATGATTTTATAATAATATAATTAAAAGTTTGTAAAACTTTTTTAAAAATATTTTTTAGTTGTAGATGGACACAATATCTTTGTTTATTAATTTATTTTTATGTGGTGCTGAGGATCAAACCCAGTGCCTCATACATGCAAGGAAAGCACTCTACCACTGAGCTAGAGTCCCAGCCCTTTATAAAACTTTTTATAAACACACAAGTAACTCAGTGGTAAAATGCCCCTGGGTTCACTATTAAAAAAAAAACAAAAAACTCAGGACCTGGGGTGGTGGCTCAATGGTAGAGTGCCTGCCTAGCATGTGCAAGGCACTCGGTTTGATTCTCAACACCACATATAAATAAATAAAATAAAGTCCATTAAAAACTAAAATATATTTTTTTAAAAAAAGTGTATGGGGTCCTGAGATCAAAAGTTTGAGAACTCTCAGGACTGGTGGTACAAGCCTATAATCCTAGCCATTTGGGAGGCAGAAGCAAGAGGCCTATCTAGGCAATTTGGTGAGACCCTGTCTCAAAATATAAAATAAAAATTGGACCCCTGGGTGCAATCTCCTGTACCAAAAAAAGAAAAAAGAAATGTTGTTCTATTGGTTGTACTTTTTTTCACATTGACTCGTGGGGAATTCTTTGTACAAAATATTCAAATTCTACTCCTTTGTTCACATATAGTAATACCTTCTTTCTATTTGTGGCTTATCTTTCCACATATTTACTACTTTCTTTGCTCTTCATTCCTTTCTGCTCTTCAGACTTTTCTTTGGGGATCATTTTCCTTGAGAATTTCCTTAAACAAAGTATGTTAAGAAACTTTCTTTGTACTAGCAAATGAACCCAAGGTCACTCTACCACTGAGCTACATCCTCAGCTCTTTTTTACTTTTGAGACAGGGTCTTGCTAAACTGCTGAGGCTGGCCTCAAATTTGCAATCCTCCTGCCTCAGCCTCCCATGTAGCTAGGATTATAGGCTTTCACCATCATGCCTGGCAGGAACTGAAAATGTCTTTAATTAGACCTCACTGTGGATATATATTTTTACTGGGTTTAAAGTGCTATGTAGGCAGTTACTCTCCCTCATTAACATTCAAGATAGCATTCTAGCAGGGTGTGGTGGCACACGCCTATAATCCCAGCAGCTCCAGAGGCTGAGGCAGGAGAATCACAAGTTCAAAGCAGCCTCAACAATTTATTGAGGCCATAAGCTCCCTGTCTCTAAATAAAATATAAAAAAGCAACTAGGGATGTAGCTCAGTGGTTAAGGGCCCTTGGGTTCAATTCCTGGTACCCTTGCTCCCCGCAAAATGGATAGCATTCTAATGGTTTCCATTGTTACTACTGAGAAGTTAACTGTCAATCCAACTATTGTGTCTTTACGGTATTCTACTATTTCTCCAGTGATTTTAGCAATTTTCTCTGTCTTCGGTGTTCTGATAAATTTTTTTTTTTAATTTATCTTACTTGGAATTTGTTAGGCTTCTAGAAACCATAGATTAGAACTGGGCGTGGTGGCACATGCTTGTCAAGCAGCTCAGGGGATGAGACATGAGTTCAAAGTCAGCCTCAGCAACTTAGCAAGGCACTAAGCAACTCAGTGAGACTGTCTCTAAATAAAATACAAAATAGGGCTGGGGATGTGGCTCAGTGGTTTAGTGCCCCTGAGTTCAATTCCCAGAAGGGAAGGGAAGGGAAGGGAAGGGGAGGGGGGGGGGGGGGGGAGGGGGGAAGGGAGGAAGGGAGGAAGGGAGGAAGGGAGGAAGGGAGGAAGGGAGGAAAGATTAGTGTCATTATATCATTTCTGGAACATTATCTCTTCAAATATTAATTCTGTTCTATATTTGCTCTGCTTTCATTCTGTAACTCACAAAACCAGGGGTGTTTAACCACTGAGCCACATCCCCAGCCCTTTTCTTTTATGTTTTATTTTGAGACAGAGTCCCACTATCCCACTAAGTTGCTTAGATCCTCACTAAAGTTGATGAGGCTGGTTATGAACTTGCAATCCTTCTGCCTCAGCCTCCGGAGCCACTTAGATTACAGGTGTACACCACCACACCTGGCCATTTCTCGTAATCTTTCTTCCATATTTAGCTTCTTAACCCCCTGTGCTACATGCTGTGAAAAAAAAAATCTAACCAATTTTCTAGTTAAACCACCTACCTATTAAGTTTTTTATTTCCTTATTATATTTTCCAATTTTAGAATTTTTTTTTGAATCTTTTTCAAAACTTTTTGTAGTTTTCTGATTCCTGTAGATGTTTTCAAGTTTTTCATTTATTTCTTTCAACACAGTAAGTATGGCTGTCTTATAATTCCAATATAGTCTTTACAGATATGTTTCATTTTACTGTTGTTTCTAGTAGTTCTTATATAGGATAACTTGTTTCTTTGTGTGCTTGGTTATTTTTAACCTAGCGCTTGAAATGTATTTGAGGATATTCTTTTTTTAAAAAATATTTATCTCTTAGTTTTATGTGGATACAATATCTTTATTTTAATCTATGTGGCGCTGAGGATTGAACCCAGTGCCTTGTGCATGCAAGGTGAGCACTATACCACTGAACCACAACCCCAGCCTGAGGATATTCTTTCTAGGCCAGGATAAAGGTGTCTCCACAAAGTAGATTTGGATTTGCTTCTGCTTGGCGCATAGGTATTTTACCAGTCCAGAACCACTTGCAGCTTGAAGTTTTGGAACATAGAGGTAGTATAAATTTGGGCAGTAAATGTGCCTGAAGATTTCTTTGTGACAGAACTTAATGTCTGGATCTTCTCTCCCTCTTACCCCTCTCTACCACCTGATTAGTTCAGTGCTTTTGAAGGAAGGCTTATTTTGGCTTTCTCAAATCCTAAGAATATAGTCTTTTAGGGTCCTGTTTAATATTAAGAACACCTTTTATATTCTCTACTATGCATGGACCCTGAGCTTTGACTTTTATCCTCTTTATGCCATGAGGACATCAAAACTGAAGTTCAAGTTTGCCTTCAGTAAATGTACTCAGTGCAAAAAGCATTTTCAATGCTCTGCTTACCTCTCTTAGATTTTGACCTTAATATTTATTTTCATGGCTATTTGCTACTTTTGAGAAGTTGAGTTTTTAAATCTCAGTGTTTGAAAATTCTTTTCAAAATGAGATAGTCCAGGGGCTGGGATGTGGCTCAAGCGGTAGCGCGCTCGCCTGGCATGCGTGCGGCCCGGGTTCGATCCTCAGCACCACATACAAACAAAGATGTTGTGTCCGCCAAATACTAAAAAATAAATATTAAAAAATTCTCTCTCTCTCTCTACCTCTCTCTCTCTCACTCTCTCTTTAAAAAAAAAAAAAAAAAATGAGATAGTCCAAACAACCTAGCCTGCTATATTCTAGAAAACAAGACTTATCCTTTGTTTTTAACATAGATTAATATAACAAAATGAAAATTATACATAATTCTACTTTTTCTTAACCTTTATGCACATTCCATGTCTTTCCCAACATGCATACACTTTTTTTTTTTTTTTTTACCTAGGCTATACCAATCTGACTTTTTTTTTTTTTTTTTTTTTTTTGGTACCAGGGATTAAACCCAGGGGTGCTTAACCACTGAGACACATCCCCAGCCCTTTTTTATATTTTATTTTGAGACAGGGTTTCCCCAAGTTGCTTAGTGCCTCACTAAGTTTCTGAGCTGGCTTTGAACTTGGAAATCTTCCTGCTTCAGCCTCTTGAGCCCCCGGGTTTACAGGCATGAGCCACTGGGATTATAGGCATGTGCCACTGCACCTGGCCAATCTGACATTTTTATAACAGCTGATGTATATGTTTATTATTTGGAGTGATAACAAACAAAGGCTGATGGTCAAGGAGAAAAGAAAGGAAAAAAAATTTTAGAAAAGAACATCCTGAAATTGAAAATTTGCTTTTAAGAATCAACTTACAGAAAGACGAGATCCAGCTCTTGCTCTGGCAATACTCTCCTTTTCCTTTTCAGATACCCTTCTCTGAACAGCCTGGAAATTATTTAAGGCTGCAGAGAAGTCATTCATGAGGCGTTCTTTCTGAAGTTTCTGCTGGCGCTAAGGAAATTAAAGAAAGAATTTGAGATTTTATATTAACCCAGAGTCATTTAGCTTTAATTCCTATTACAGATAAAACTATAACTCTTGGAGATTTCCAACAAGGAAAATTATTACAAAATAGAATCTTCTTTAAATTAATTAATTCACTCCTTGCTAGCTCAAATTCCCAGTTAATACAATACAGATCAAATCAGAATTTTCTCTTTCATTCTGACAAGCCTGAGAACTGGATATCATTTATCTTATAATATCAGAAGAAAATGCAATTCAGAATCTTTAATTTTTTTTTTTATTTTTTGAAATTCAGAATTTTTGTTCCCTGGAGAATCTAAAAGAATAATACTATCTTTAGACTCAGATTGGACCCAAATAGAGATTGATTTTTACAAAAATGTTGAAACTATATTCATGTATATTAAGTTCGCAGTTTCCCAGAAAATCATAACCATTTTCATCTATAGGCTTTATTTTAAAAGTAAGGTTTATGGACTGGGGATGTGGCTCAAGCAGTAGCGAGCTTGCCTGGCATGCGTGCAGCCCGGGTTCGATCCTCAGCACCACATACAAACAAAGATGTTGTGTCTGCCGAAAAACTAAAAAATAAATATTAAAATTCTCTCTCTATCTTAAAAAAAATAAAAGTAAGGTTTACAACCTTTAAGAACTTGATAACTATTTCATTTATCTACAGGCTATCTTTATTAGGCTTGCTACTTCTACATCTCAAAAAATACATACCAAGCGCCCCATACTAAGCACACAGAAATAATCTCAAATAGCTCATCATCTATTTAGAGATACAGAATATGTACACACAAGTGACAAAGTCATAAAAATTGGCTATATCCACCTTGTACTATAGAAGTTCAGACCCAGGACAATCAATCAGTAAGAACTTAGGTGGTCAAGAAAGGCCTCAAGAAAATGTGGACAGTAAAGAAATAGTGAACAGAATAAGCAGAAAGACAGGGTAGAACAAATCCAACCAAGAGAACAGTGTAAGCAGAGGCTGGTGGAAGAAAACTGGATCTATTAAGGAGATGGTCTGGCTGAAACCAAGATTTATTCATAAGAGAAGCTAAAAGATAAAAGTGGGTTTTAAATGTCAAGCTAATAAATCTGGGACTTAACTCCTAATAAACAAAGAGCAATGAAGATTTTTCATCTGGGAATATGACAGGGACAAAGGAGTAACTTAGAAAAATCAGCTGTGAACATGCCAAGTGAAATGGAAAGAAGAAACAAGTAAAAAAAAAAAAAATTCTGCAACAGTGCAGAGGACATAGCTCTGTAACAGAGCACTTGTCTAGCATGCACAAGGGCCTGGGTTTGAACCCCAGAAAGTCATAAAGAAATGTTTTTAGACTTTTTACCATTGCAGTAGTTTAAGTTTAGGAGGACACAGTATCAGTAATTGGCTCACAAAGAAATAAATTTAAAAAACACTGACTTAGTGACTGGAGGTGGAAGAAGAGAGATAAAGTAAAGAATGACCCAAACTTCAAATACAGAAAGCAAATTTAGGTGAGAACATTGTTTTCCCCTTTCTGGGATCTTTATTTTTGCATAAACAACATTATAGCAATAATGGGGAAATTACTCCCCAACTTACCATCCAAAAATACTACCTTCTTTTCTTCTTCTTTTTTTTTTTTTTTTTTTTGGTGCTAGGAGAGAACCCAAGGGGCTTTGCTCATTCCCCAAAAAAGTGGGTTTTCAGTAAGCACTCCATCACTAAGCTATACCTCCAGCCCCCAAATGCTATCTTTTCAATATATCATAAACATGTTCCATGGTACCATAATATTCACAATTATAATCTTCCAAAAAAAATGATAATCTTTGTTTCAGATATCCCATCAAGCTAATCTAGTAAATTTTATGTAAACATTCCTTCTAGATTGTTCTCGTTTTTAACTATTAAAAATAAAGCTCAAGTGAGCCCCACTGTAACAGCTAATATTTATATTTAGCTTGTGAGTACTTATACTTATTTCCCTTCAGAATATTTTTCCTTAGGACAAATCTGTATGAGTGGGAATATTAGGTTAAAAGGCACAAACTCAACTTATTTAAGTTTTTTTTATATATATATTTTTTAGTTGTTGATGGACCTTTATTTTATTCATTTATTTTTATGTGGTACTGAGAATTGAACCCAGTGCCTCACACAAGCTAGACAAACACTCTACCACTGAGCCACAACCCAGCCCTATTTGAGGAGTCTGAATGAGGAATTCCATATAATATACCACATTAAATTTAAAAAATGTATATATTTTTAGTTGCAGATGGGCACGATACCTTTATTTTATTTATTTATATGTGGTGCTGAGGATTGAACTCAGTGACTCACACATGCCAGGCAAGCACTTCTCCACTGAGCTACAACCCCAGCCCAATACCCCATTAAATTTTTTATGCAGGTAGTATATTTCAAGAGGAGATATGAGAACAGAACTGGCAATATGGGCCAAGTATGGAAGGCTAAAGGGCTAGGGTTGGAAAAATATTTGGAAGTGGTTGATCCTAAAGGTGACAGGGTGACAGGGTGGTCATAAACATAAATAAGACTCCTGAGGGAGAAAGTATTGAGTGAAAAACTAGAGGGTCAATGGCAGAGCCTTGGGGCATGCCTACTTCTAGGACGATATATTATCAAGGAAGGAGACTGAAAGTCAACCAGAGTTGGGGGAAAGAATGAAAGAGAATCGTGGAAAAAAAGAAAGTTCAGTAACAAAACAAAACAACACTAGTGGACCAAAGAAAACAAGAGAGGAAAAGTGAATAAAAACTCAAAAAAGGCCACTGGATTTGTCCAGTTGGCAACTAGAAGACCACTGATAACAGTATGTAGTTATCCCCATACCTATAGAATGTATGGGGAAACTGAAAATAGAATGTATGTTTTATGCCCAGGGTGGCAGTGAAAAGATGGGCAATAGGGCTAAGATTAAATAAGGCAAGAGTAGAAAGACAAAAAGGTAATCATCACAATAGGAGAAAGGGAATCAAGGAGTTATATTTCATCAAAGAGAATATGTTTGTAGATCTATTTCATGTTCTTAATGATCCAAGCTAATGGAAGTAAACAATAGCATGCATTATCCAAAAATAACTTCTGTTTGGTTTTTGAATACATTAGATGATTCTGGGGGTAGCAGATTTAGCTTTCTATTTATATTTTGCTTAGACTTTACTATTTAAACCTTAAGTACATGCAATACTCTGTCTATATCAAATCCTTAGACTCCTTTATTATTGCTTTGAAAGCTATCTACAAATGTATATTCCCTAAGTGCATAGCTGGGAGGAAGAAACAGATAATTTGGGAACAAGCTGGAGATATTTTGGATGGTAAGGGGGCACTGTCCCATAACAGAAACATCAACACGAGTAACAAGTAAAACAACTCATATATGGATAATCTTACTGTTTATCAAAAGTATTTTGTAGCAGGAAGACAAAGCTTCTAGTCTTGGATCCTCTTTTGTGCAAAGAGCTCCAAAACTCTGGACTGAACATTGCTACATTAAACAGCTTGCCAGGTTAAACTGGTGCTTTTCAAGTTTTTGGAGACCCACAGTATGAATTTGACCTCATGACCCAGTACTGTTCACACATATATGTATCAAACTAAAGTTTTATATAATGATATTTACCCTTATTACACAGTAAAAACTCTGATATTTCTACTCTAGTTTGGTTTTTGAAAGTCACAGTTCTTTTTTGTGTGTGTGGTGCCAGGGATTGAACCCAGGGCCTTGTACATGAGAGGCAAGCACTCTACCATCTGAGCTATATCCCCAGACCCACAAGTCACCGTTTTATTTGTTGTTATCTTTCAGTACTGGGGATTGAACCCAGGAGCACTCTACAACTGAGCTACATTCCCAGCCTCTTTTATTTTGGGACAGGATATCAATAAGTTTCCTAGGCTGGCTTTGAACTTGTGATCCTCCTGCCTTAACCCCCTGAGTTGCTAGGATTACAGGTGTGGACCATAGCCCAGCAAGCCACAAATTTAAAAACAACCCAGGATAGGGAAGTTGAAGGCTTTGTCTTCAGAGCTATCTGAGATAGGATATCATAATTTTAAAAGTTCAATAATAAAAAGTCATATAAGTCAAGTGCCCCATGAGTGGAATAGAAGCTAAAACAAAATAGAATCACAATAAGCTAAGGCAGATGGAGAAGTTTTTCCCTTAAGGTAGACCATGAATAAGAGATAAAAGAGTTAAACCATGATGAAGGAGGGGACACATCTGGCTTCCAGAATGAAAGAAGACATTTAGGGAACAATGAATCCAAGTAAAAAGTGTGTTCATTTAAAGAATTTAAATGTCCTTTGAGTAAAATTACTTAGGAAAAAAAAATCTTCCCTGAATATTTCCTTAACCTGAGACCTATGAATAACCCTTGATGGGACACAAAATATGAAAGAAAGATGTTCAATGGAAATTTGTAGATAGTGGATCCCAAACAAACTAGGTCTAAGCCTGCCAACATGTGGCTGCTAGCCAAATCCTAAAGAGTCGCAAACACTGAAATTCTAATTCAGCAAAATCCATTTTATTAACATATTAATAATAAATAGCACTACCCCATATTGAATACCTACTGAATGTCAAGCAGTTTGCTACATCTGGTGCGTTCTTTCTCTCTAATGCCACAATAGTCACATACCCCACTTTACATATAAGGAAACTAAGGTTCAGAGAAAGTCTATCTAGCACCAAAGACCAATTTTTGTTCCACCATACTGCCTTTCTACTAAAACAAAGTGCTTTCTTAGTAATAAAGCAAAACAGAAATACCAACCTGTTCTGATGTAGATAAGGGAAGGGGTAAGGACCCTAATTCCTTCAGCAATTCATTTGTTTCCTTGGCAAGCTGATTTGTGGAGTGCTGCAACTGCTGCCTAAGAGAAAAAAGATATATTTCAAGATGCTGACTCTTCTTAAGAGCTATCATACTGAGTATTACTTTGTTCTCAGAATGTCTCACAATGCAGGGAATGAAGGACTGTTTGAAGAAAAAGGGCACCTCAACGCCCATATTCACAAAAAAATGTCATTACTATTACCCAGGCAAACCCACTTCAAGACATCTTCACATTATTGAAGCAGTCACATTAAGCAAAAAGAACCTGCCTCAAGACACCTGCTGAAGGAAGCACAATCAGGAATTTTAACTCTTTGGGGAGAAAAACACATCAGCAATTCTGACAGAAACAAGAGAAAGAGCAATTACTGCCCACACCTAAATCTCATGGTTTTAACACCCTGAACTTCCTCATAAAATTCTCATATTGAATTACCCAGGAGTTCTGCATGGTCAGTATCTGTCACAGTCCACCGACTAGAGTCTAGGCATAGGTGGTTGAATGAAATATGCATTAAAAGCATAGCTTCGCACCTACCCTAGGGAACAACCTTCAAAGATCTATTCCCTCATTCTTGCTTAAAGGCTGATTCTTTCTCAGATTTATCTTTGGATGCCTTCTTGCTCTTTATGCTTGACTTTATTTCTCCCTTCAAAACAAAGAAGCCCTATACTATTTAAAAATATATAAGTAAGGGGTTAGGAGCATAACCCAGTGGTATATATGAAGCTGGGGGAAGGATACTGGCTAAATTATATTATTATATTGTGTGCATGATATGTAAAAACAAATCCCACCATTATGTACAACTATAATGCACCAATAAAAGAAGGTGGGGGTTGGGGGAAGCTGGGTGGTGGGCGTGGTGGCACATGCCTGTAGTCCCAGCTACTCAAAAGGCTGAGGCACTAGGATCACAAGCCTGGGAGTTCTAGGCCAGCCTGGGCAACATAGTGAACCCTGTCTCAAAAAACAACCCCCCCCCCAAAATAAAAGGAGTAGGAAGAAAGGACATTAAAGAGGCAAAAATATATAATATATTAAGTGAGATTAGAAAGTAGTGGATAAATAAAAAAAAGTTCCTTTGATTTATGGTTTCCTCTACTATCTGCTCATTTCTGCAAAGGTTTTAGGGAGGACAGAGAAACCACACGCTATGGCCTGAATGTATGCGCCCCCCAAACTCATATGTTGAAATCCTAACCCCACAAGGTGATAATATTAGGAAATCGTACTGGGAGGTGATTAGATCATGAGAGTGGCTTGGTCATGAATGGTTAGTCCCTTAAAAAAGAGGCCCTAGAGAACTGCTTTGCCTCTTTCACTAAGTGAAAACACAAGTGAGAAGGCATCACCTGAAAAGGCAGTTCCTCCCCAGACACTGTATCTGCCACGTCTGGATCTTGAACTTCCCAGTCTCCAGAACTATGAGAAATAAATTTCTGTTGTTTATAAACTAACTGGCTTATAGTGTTTTGTTATAGCAGCCTGAATGGACTAAGACAGCATACTACTATTAATGTTTTTTTCACTGCAAATGGGTCTCCAGGATTAAAAAACACAGGAATGAAAAACAAAAGAGAGTCAAACAGGAGTGAGAACATCCCAGACAGCACTAAGATAGAGAGATTTCATCTCTCCCTGGAAAAAGCTCACAGTAATAATAGTCATGTTCACTTCAGAATGTTTAGGAGAGGAAACAGGAATACTGCTTAATATATTTTAAAGATAAAGAACTAAACTTCTAAAAGCAGGAATGGATGGGCTGGAGCTGTAGCTCAGTGGCAGAGCATCAGCCTCACACGTGTGGGGCACTGGGTTCAATCCTCAGCACCACATAAAAATAAATAAATATATTGTCCATCCACAATTAAAAAAATATTTTAGGGGCTGGGGTTGTAGCTCAAGCGGTAGCACACTTGCCTGGCATGCATGCGGCCTGGGTTCAATCCTCAGCACCACATACAAACAAAGATGTTGTGTCTGCCGAAAACTAAAAAATAAATATTAAAAAAAAATTCTTGGGGCTGGGGATGTGGCTCAAGCGGTAGCGTGCTCGCCTGGCATGCGTGGGGCCCGGGTTCGCTCCTCAGCACCACATACAAACAAAGATGTTGTGTCCGCTGAAAACTAAAAAATAAATGTTGATTTAAAAAAAAAAAAAAAATTCTTTCTCTCCTCTCTCTCTAAAAAAAATATAAATAAATAAAATAAAAATAAAAAATATTTTAAAAATAAATAAATAAAAGCTGGAATGGGGTCAAAAAGAATATGATTAAAAAAAAGAAGATGATCAGAAGTTCCACTATTCTCTCCTTCAAGCTCCCTTTGGGTCATTCTGAATAAATTTTTCTAATATCATATATAGTTGAAAATCCATCTAGACTAGAAGATTAGGAGTACTATGCCAACAAAGTGGCTCATTAGGCAGAGTTGTGAGCAGAATACAGTTTAAGAGAGAGATAGGAGTTCCCTTCTCTATGTGCCTAAATTGTCCTATTATACTGACCAAAGGAAGAAAGTAAGTAGTTCAAGGCCTTTGAGAAGCAGTGGAAATCTGGATTCATTAATATACTTTGTTGCCCCTTTCTAAATCCAGCTATTACCTCCTGATCTCATTCTGACTTCACAGACCTGAAACCTAAGCTGCCACGCAGCAAGGACACTAATGTCTTCAAAGTGCCCTCACAAATCACAACCTTGTTAGGAAGCTACTCACAGATTTTCCTGTAGCTTGCTTGAGTCCTGCTTAGTTCCTAGTTGGCTCATCAAATTCTTTATCTGAGCAGCTGGGGAAAGGGAGGGAAAAAGATTTACTTAAAAGAAAAATACATTCATCATGAGCACCCTACTTCTCAGATCACTGGTCTATCCACATCCTGGATAAGAAATCATGTTATGATCAAAATCTTACCATATACATTCCTCCAAAAACCAATTACCTTTTACCTATGGAGTAAATATGTCACTAAGCAGTATGTGGTGGCTTTATTTATCATCCTCAAAGAAATAAGTAATTTTTCCAGATCTCCCATGACATTGATTAAAAATTTAATCACCTTTAGGAGTGATGAGGAAGCTCAGTGATAGAGCAGGTGCTAAACATACCCAAAGCCCCTGCTTTGCATCCCTAGTACTAGGCAAACAAACAACAACAAAACCCCCACACAAAATCTTTGGAAGGGTCTTAATAACCAAATATCAATCCCCAACAATAAAACATTAAATCCAACCAGGTACAGTGGTGCATACCTATAATCTCAGTTACTCCAGAGGCTGGGGCAGAGCAACCACAAATTCAAGCCCAGCCTGAGCAATTTAGTTAACCCCTATATTTTTTTATTTTAAACAAGACAACTGCCCACTGTCAGTTCTATGGGTTTCTTTTTTTAATATTTATTTATTTGTTTTTTAGTTTTCGGCGGACACAACATCTTTGTTTTGTATGTGGTGCTGAGGATCGAACCCGGGCCGCATGCATGCCAGGCAAGCGCGCTACCACTTGAGCCACATCCCCAGCCCAGCTAACCCCTATATTAAAATTAAGGAGGGGAGTAAAGGGTGGGAGGGTAGGATGATTAGAGCTCAGTGGTAGAACAACACTTGCCTAACATTTATGTGGCCCTGGGTTCAACTCCCAGTAGAGGGGGAAAAAAATTAAAGCCACTAATATATACAAATTTTTCTATAGCCAACATTTTGGAAAGATGGTGTACACATTTATTATTATTAATAGGTTACTAATGATTGAGCACTTCAATGTGTTTGTATGCATTATCTGATTAATTTTCACAGATAGACTGAAGTAGGTATACTTTCATTTTGTGGACAGGAAAATATATTTAGAGGGGTTAAGTATTTTATATAAGCATACATAATCAGTTGCAGGGCAAAACTTCAACCATAGGCATATGGAGTATTCTTTCAACTATACTATCTATGCCATGACATGGTCAATCATACGCTTTTGTTCAATCCTTTTTACTTTTTCCTAGATGTACTGCTAAGATTTAGAATGGTCATGTTTGAATCCTGGACATCTAACCCCTTATCCTAGACCAGGAAAGTAGAGGTCCAGGGAACTGACCATTTATAAATAAGAAGGAATACTCTTAATTCCAGTCTGCCTAGGAATGTGACCACCCCTGATCTCTGCAACAGGAATACAGTCCATGATTTCTTGTGTGTCTTGCTTTCCATTTTCTTTGTCTGACTGCTGAGGATGGTGGCGGAAATTTATTTATTCAGAAAGGATGTTAGTTGTATGATTAGCTTTTTAAAATTTTTTTTATTACTGGGGATTGAACCAGGGCCTTGCATGGTAGGCAAGTGCTGTACCATGAGTTATATCTTCAGTACCCACCACATACACCCACCAGTGCTTTTTTTTTTTTTTTTAAATCTGAGATAGGGTGTCACTAAGTTGCCCATGCTGAACTCACTCATAATCCTTCTGCCTCAGCCTCCACAGAAGCTGGGACTACAGGGTGGGTAGTAGCACTTGCCTGTTTTTTGTTGTTGTTGTTGTCCTGGGGATTGAACCTAGGGGCATTGCACCACTGATCCACATCCCTAGCCTTATTTTTTTTTTGAGACAGGATCTCACTAAGTTGCTTAGAACCTTGCTAAGTTGTTGAGGCTGGCTTTGAAGGTTCGATCCTCCTGTCTCAGCCTCTCACTGTGCCCTGCTTGCCTTTTTGCCTTTTTAGATACATGACAGCAGAGTGCTACCTGCTTTTTAAGAGCATTCATTGTCTTTTACTACAAGTAGATGAAGAACAAAACAGATTAATCAAGTACTCTTTGCTCAGGAACATATTTATCTTTAAGTTTCAACAGAACTTCAAGAGATAACAAAATAGCTATAAAGCTCCTTTATGGGTGCTTCTCCTATCCTTTCTAGATTAATGTCAAAGTTTCGCTTGTGCAATACCAGACTGCTAAATAAAAGGCTTAGAAGAAGAAAATGAGAAAAACAATGTATATTGTATAATCTCTGAAGGTTATAGGGATAAGGTATGTACAAATCTTCCATGTCCAAAAAGAAAAAATGCTCACTTATTAGAATTTTGAAGTTTAAGAATAATTGTTCCTTGGGGCTGGGGATGTGGCTCAAGCAGTAACGCGCTCGCCTGGCCTGTGCAGGGCACTGGGTTCGATCCTCAGCACCACATAAAAATAAAATAAAGATGTTGTGTCCACCGAAAACTGAAAAACAAACATTAAAAAATTCTCTCTCTCTCTCTCTCTCTCAAAAAAAAAAAAAAAAAGAATAATTGTTCCAAATTCACTTTATGTTAATGGTGCTCTTTTTTTTTAATATTTATTTTTTTTTAGTTTTCAATGGACACAAGATCTTTATTTTATTTTTAAGTGGTGCTGAGGATCGAACCTAGGGCCCCGCGCATGCCAGGCGAGCGCCTACCGCTTGAGCCACATCCCCAGCCCCAATGGTGCTCTTTAAAATACAAAATGTTGGGATCATAGTTATAATCTTGTTCCTAATTAGCAAAGCAACAACAACAACAAAAAACCCTAAAGTTTATTAAGTGCCAGTACCTTTACAATAGCACTGACATGTTAATCAGTCCATAAATCTGATAAGCAATGATTAGACAAAAATCTTCTAATTCTTTGCTGAGTGACCACACTCTTGAACAGAAATGGAATAATCCAGTCCTTAGTTGTATGTACAAGTTATTTCTCCCTAGCCAAAATCATTACATCATGGGTATTGCAAAGCAAAAATTTCCAGAGTGAAGAATATACAGGTTTGTAGCACTTCAGATAATGATTTTCTTATTTTGATACCATGTTTTCCTAGCAAAAGTATACTTTCAACTTAGTGAGACCCTGTCTCAAAATAAAAAATAGGGCTGGGGGTGTGGCTCCGTGGTTAAGTACCCCTGGGTTCAATCCCATGTACAAAAATATGTGTGTGTATGTATGTGTGTGTGTGTGTGTGTGTGTATATATATATATATATATATATATATATATATATATATATATATATCCAATTTCATAATGGAACATACAACTCATTTGATTAAAAAATTTGCCTTTTGACAAAACTTCCCTAAAATATAACTGTTCTATTAAATGGAGTTACTTATAGATGTTCCATAGGAAAATGTAAGCACAATTCCAATTACTGCATTCTGCTAAGACAGCATGAAATATAAATAACCATTTTTCTTCATCACTTTCATGTAGATTTCTTCTTCCCTAAGTTTAATGGGAACAAAGATACCACATGAAAGCTATTAACTTGAAAGCCACAAAAATAATTTATTATTAGGCATTAGCATTTACTGACCATTTACTATGTACCAGATACTAGGCTAGGTACTTGATAAGTATTATCTTATTTGACCCCAACAATGCTTTAAGTAAGCATCAGTATCCCAGTGTTGCATATGGATGGTCACAATGAGGCTCATGAGACTTACAGAACTCATTTGTTCATATACTAGGTACTCTACTCTGTATATACTTGCCTTCAAGAAGCTTACATTCTCAAAAATAGGTAATAAATACACATCAGCTGGTGGTGAGTGCTACACAGAAATATAAACTCAGGTGAAGGCTGGAATAACAGAGGGAGGGCAAAGAGTACTAGTTTATATATGGTGGTCAGAGAAACCTTTCTGATAAGGTAACACCTAGCAGAGATCTAAAGGAAATGTGGGATCATGCCACAACTATCTGGGGGAAAAGCATTTCAGACAAACAGAGTAATCAGTACAAAGTTCCCAATGCAAGAGAGCATGGTACAGGAATAGCCAGAGAGCCAGGGTGGCTAGAGCAGAATGAGAAAGAGAGAGAAAAGAAGTACTCAAAGAGAAAATGGGGAGTCAGATTTTATAGGACTTTGTTAACAATTATAAGGACTTGAAATTTTAATTAAATGGCAAGCAACTGATAGGTTTTGAGCAGTGTCATAAAACCAGAATTCAAACTCAAGGCTAATTCCACTGGCTACATTCTTTGTGTCATACTATGTTCTTTCAAAGGGCTGACTCTTAAAGGAAACAGAATGTAGTCACACAAGGCAGGCTTGGACTTCCCAGTGTTCCATTTCACCCCACCCTTCTTATCTTATACCACCCTAACTTAATAGCTCTCTGCTCAACATCAGACAGGGCGTCCTTACTCTTACCTGTTGCCTTTCCCAACTCCCTCCTACCTAATGGCAATATTCCTCTGTACTCACCTGAGTCCAGCAGAGTGACAGGCACTTGTACAATGTAAATAAAACAGGACGTCCTTGCTCTTACCTGTTGCCTTTCCCAACTCCCTCCCACCTAATGGGAATATTCCTCTGTACTCATCAAAGTCCAGCAGAGTGACAGGCACCCAGTACAATGTAAATAATTACTAAGTAATTGAGTTAGCCTCCCCACTTTGACATTTTAGCAATCTCTCCAAGGCAGAAGATGTGAATTAAGGTATATTAGGAATAAAAAGATCTGAAATCGAAGCCAGACTTGAACATTAACTAAATGTACGGCACCAGGGAAGTCATTTCATTTTGCTGGGTCTCTTTTTCATCAGTTGTAGATTATATTCAGATTTAACTCACATTTATTAAATACTTAGTATCTGTGGGGAGGGGTATTTTCTCTCATGAAATCTTTACAATTATGTGAGGACTAAGTGATCTCTAAATAGTCCCACACTATTCAATTCTAAATTCTATAATAAGGAAATAGCTTGGGCTAAGGATGTAGCCCAGAGGCAGGGTGCTTCCCTAGCATGTATGAGGTCCTGGGTTCAATCCTCAATA